TAATATCTAATAATAATTTAAATTTGACATATAATTCTAATGATAATAATCATAAATTTCATGTAATTGACATAAATAATTTAATAAAAAAGTTTTGGACAAAAGATAGGTATTACCTATCCAAATATAATTTAAGACTGATAGCAAATGTGCTATCTTATTATTTACTTTTTAACTCAGCCAAGTTTTTGGCTACCAAGACTGCTTTTATTGAGCAAAATCATTTGACATTTAATTTGGAATCAGTTCCAACTAATTTAAATTAGTGAATGTGACAATAGAGGCAATCTCTAGCAATAATAAGAGTTTAATTAATTTTGAATACAGCCCACAAATAAGTAATAAAAATTGTTTACACCTGGTGCATCAAAATATACAAGGCATGTTGGGCAAAGAATTGGAAGTTGAATTGTTTTTAAATAGTAACAATATACACATCCTTTGTATTACTGAACATTGGCTAAAAGATTATAATTTCATGTTTAATTTCAGAAATCACCAGGTGGTCAGTTCCTTCAATAGAGAAAAAAGTTTACGTGGTGGCTCCTTAATATTAGCAGATAAATCATTATTATATAAAGAACGTAAGGATATTGTGAGCCTCTCTGTTGAACGAACTGTAGAAATGGCTTGTGTCGAGCTCGAGCACCTCATTGTTGTAAGTGTTTACAGACCCCCATGTGCTACTTATGACCATTTTGAAAGGATTGTGGAAGAAGTTTTACTCAAACTTAGTAAACAGAACAAGTCTGTTGTAATGTGTGGAGACTTTAATATCAATCTCCTTGAAACTTCTTCCATTAGTATTAAGTTTAGCTCATTGTTTAAATCGTATAATCTTGTAAATTTATTCTTAGAACCAACACGTATTGCTGGGCCTAGTGCGACCTGTATAGATAACATTTTTACAGATGTTAAGCCCTTGCATAAATCAATTATTCAAAATTTGAGTTCAGATCACTGTGGACAGTTAGTATCACTACCTTACATACACAAAAAACAGAAAAATAAGAAAGTTGTGTTTGTTCCAATAAATGAACATCGCTTGGAGAGGTTTAGAAGTAATATAATAAAAAGACTTCCATCACTTTCGTTTAAAAATAGTGCTAATTATTTGTATGCTACATTATTTGAAATTATACGTTGTGAATTTAGTAGAATATTTACTTCTAAAACTTTCTCTTTTAACAGTCGCAAATCATTTAATGAATGGGCGACAGTAGGAATTTATAAAAGTAGGCGAAGGTTATACGAGCTTTATGATGAAAGATCATATAATAGTAGTGTTATATTTAGAGATTATGTAAAAACATATTCTAAAATATTTAAAAAAGTGTGCTCCACTGCTAAGGCTTTACATTTAAGCAACAAAATTAAAACTGCATCCGACAAAATTAAAATGACCTGGAGAATAATAAATAGTGAAACGGGCAAGGTCAAACCGCGCAACTCGGATTTTCTATTGAATATTAACAATAATTTAACCCGATCTGATAAAGAAGTTGCTATGGCTTTTGAGAAACATTTTACTGATGTTCCTTTTTTGACAACAAAATCATTATATTCTTCTCCTACTGTCGCCGAATCATTGCTCAAACAAAATGTAAAGGCTTGTTCAAATACTTTTAAATTCTATAGGGTACTGCCAAAAGATATCGTTAAATATTTTAAAACTATTGATGTTAAGAAAACGGCAGACTTATGGGGGATTTCCGTTAAAGTTATTTTATCTATAATAGATACATTAGCACCTTATCTAGCCACTATATTTAATATAAGCGTCGAATCTGGTGTGTTTCCTGATTTAATGAAACATAGTAAAGTCATACCTATATTTAAATCTGGTAGTACATTAGACCCCGCCAATTTTAGACCAATTTCTGTACTACCAACATTAAGTAAAATTTTTGAAAAAATTATTTTAGGTCAGATGTTAAGTTTCTTTAATATTAATAAATTGCTACATAATAATCAATTCGGTTTTACAAGGGGTCGCTCGACAACTGACGCTGGAGTTGAGCTTATTAAACATATTTTTTGTGCATGGGAGAATTCAGAGGATGCTTTGGGTATATTTTGTGACCTTTCCAAGGCCTTCGACTGTGTTCACCATGAGACATTAATCAGGAAGCTACAGTACTATGGTGTCAAGAACACAGCGCTTAAACTTATTATTTCATATTTAAGTAATAGAAAACAGAAGGTTATTATCAATGGTAAAAGTTCTTCCGGGTCACCTGTACTAATGGGTGTACCTCAGGGCTCGATTCTCGGCCCATTCCTGTTTCTGGTGTATATTAATGACTTACCTCACCTTGTAGGGGATAGTCATGATATAGTATTATTTGCTGATGATACTTCCTTGATTTTTAAACTTAAACGTCAATCATTTAAATGTGACGAAGTGAATAATGCTATATCAAAATTAGTGCATTGGTTTAACGTTAATAATCTGCATTTGAACGGAAATAAAACTAATTGTGTTAAATTTACAACAACGAATGTTCAAAATCTGAATACCAATGTGTTTTTAAATGGGGAGGAATTGAGCCCTGTTGTATCCACTGTTTTTCTTGGCATCACTCTTGACGCAAAGCTCCAGTGGGGCCCCCATATATCCAAATTAGCATGCAGACTAAGTTCTGCAGCCTATGCTGTAAAAAAGATTAGAGGTCTCACTAGTGTCGAGACAGCTAGATTAGTTTATTTTAGTTATTTTCATAGCATAATGTCTTATGGGATTTTGCTATGGGGAAATGCGGCTGATTCAGAAACTATTTTTGTTTTACAGAAGAGGGCCATTAGAGCTATTTACAATCTAAAACCGAGAGAGTCTCTTAGAGATAAATTTAAAGAAATTAATATATTAACTTTGGCCTCTCAGTATATTTACGAAAATTTAATGTATGTTCACAAAAACAAAGATAGTTTTAGTAAAAGAAGTGATATACATTCTGTAAACACTAGGAACAAACACAAGCTAGTGATACCAGTTTCTCGTCTCCACAGAGTCAGTAATTCATTCTTGGGGCAATGTATACGCTATTACAACAAGGTCCCGGAAAGTGTACAGGTTCTCTCTATTACCAAGTTTAAATGTTTTATTAAGCTGAAACTGTATAAAAAGGGTTATTATAGTATAAATGAATACATGGTTGATAATAACCCCTGGGAATGAGGTGATCGCTTCCAAGCAGTTTCTAAAATAAATTTTGTAAATAGTTCCTAATCATTTATATTGTAAAATTTATTTAAAAAAAAAAGTCCCGCTGGGTTTCTTGCTGGTTCTTCCCAGGACAGAGGTTTTTTTCGAACCAGTGGTAAAGTAAAAAATGACTTTCAATAAGAATTACACATGTAATGTATATTGAATAAAAATATATTCTATTCTATTCTATTCTATTGCGTACAGCAGAGGAGTGGAATAATTTGGCTTAGCTTTCCATTGACTCCCGACCTTTTTCGGAAAGAATCGACATCCCTACTGAAGACAAGGATTAGATATAAACAATACACGAATAATTGATTTTCAATAACTTTTTTCTCAAAAATTACGTGCTTCCGCATGTTGTAACTTTGTGTGTGTGCTTATAATAATGTAACTTTTCTGTAAAAATACATATCATCCCCCAACTCGATGGGAGTCAATGGAAAGTCGTACCAATAATTTTCCAGCATCTGTCTCTCCATTCCATTACAATGTAGGCATCTTCGAGGCAAAAGTGAATAGGCTTTTGTTAAGCTAAAACAGTGCAATTATCATCTAGGGTTTTATCACTAGTTACCACCAGGTGTGATGTTATCAAGCACTGGCTTATCTCTATATATAAAAATTAATTGCTGTCCAATCTCACTAAAACTCAAAAATGGCTCTACCGATATTGATGATATTTTTTGTGTGTTTAAATGAGTTCTAGATGCTTTAGAATCACATTTGAATCCGGTAGGTGGCGCTGTTACGTCAGAAATTACCTGTGCAAAACCATTGGCAGATCACTAGTAAAAACATTTTAAAAAAATAGCTTATACTTTATGCCATGTATTTGGGACCTGTTATACAGGTATCCATGCCACTTACAGTCAACTAATTGTTAACTATTTGGTCATTCTAGTATTATTAACCAAATTCAATTTGTTATTATATATATATATATATATATATATATATATATATATATATATATAATAAAGTTGGATATAACGACTTCGCTTATAGTGACTTGTCACTATATGGCTTATGTCGCTTATACTAGCTGGCCAGGCAAACGTTGCTCTGCCCTTTCCGATGACTCTTACTATGAAAAAAATCCTTAAATTCACAATAAAAAAATATTGAAGGTCACTTATAGGGATAAAAAGTATCCTATCTCTCAAGTTGGACCAAACTTCAGACAGTGTGTAAAATTTCATTGAAATCAGTTCAATAGTTTAGGAGTTCATCGTGGACAGACAATGTGACACGTAATTTTTATATATATATATATTTGATGCAGTCCAGATTTTTTAAAGCTTACCATAAAAAGAAAATTAATTAGTGAGACATGTTTTTAAATTGTTTTTGTGAATTTTCCTTTTAATGTTACAACCTGTCTAAAGTCCACTGCTGAATATAGGCCTTGCCAATAAATTGCCTCATAAGAGTGATATTTTCCATAGTTGCCAGGCTTGACAGCTGGTCTAGCACCACAGTTTCAAATTTTCTATTTGTTAATCATTGATCACTAATAAAAAACTAGGTACACAATCAGTGACAAAAAATCTCCTTACCGAATGAGCGCCCACTTGATCATTTGGTTGTAAGAGGCGTCAGAAGGAAACTGAAACAGGTGATGCCATTCCCATACCATTCAAAATAATTAAAAGCTACTGTAGCCAACCTGCCTACCAAGCGTGGCAACTATGGCAAAACCGTATGTACCAGAGGACTGTTATAAGCTATAATGGAATGGACTGCTTACTTACTACATCATAATTGTAATTTTAAAAAAATACTAATAATTTTGTCCTCAGCATTTGCTCTCGCCTACATTCACTACAGATATGTGTCTAACCTTTTTGAGAATGATCGTAACTTCTCTCACCTCTCGGATCTTGAGCGGGAGATGTCTCTACGTACGGAAATGGGGTTCTACTACTCCTACTACAAAACAATTGTGGAAGAGCGTCCATTTATTGCTGGTATATCAAAGCTCATGTATGACCGACTGGTGGAATATCCAAAAGAGGTGAACGCATTCAACAGATTCAACATACATCCTGAAGTGAGTATTGGCTTTATGTTTAACCAGTACTTTAAGGCCGGTATTCAATTTCAAGTTTAAACTGAAAGTCCATAATGTCAAAAATATTGGTCTAGACCTTACCACAGTCTTACTACTAATATCGGTCATCAAAGGTGTCTAAGCGGGTATTGTGCAGTTCGGTGCAGTGTGGGGCGGGACACGGGCAGAGCGTTTCCGAACGGCCGTTAGAGAGCTGTCTGCTATGGTTGTCCAGTCACGCAAATAAATTAAAATGGTTCACACTACATGTGCGATATAAAACTGTGGATCATCCTCATTTAAAGATAAGAAATTAGCTTTTCGGTGTTCATGTGAATATAAGAAATTATAATATTTTCTTTGTTTGTAATTGCGTTATTGAAAAGGGGCTCTATTGGTGAAATTTACAATAATGGTACTTACGGGAGCGAACAAACGATCTAGCTAGTTCTTATTTGTGAGAAGATTCGTTGTCTGCGCGTTGTGCGCGACACAAATGCTAGAAGCATAATTTGCTCACGCTAAATTATTGGTAATCGTGCCTCTGAGATCATCGCCTGAGTCGAAAACGCGGGTTCGAATCCTGCAAAGTAATTAGGCTCTTTTATTATTATTTTTTGTTCTTTAGACTACTGGCCCTACCACAACTGGTCAATACTGAATTATCATAAATGTTATATTATATATTTTGTTTGCAAAGTTATGTAAATATTTATGGCGCTATGTGTACTACAAATTGGTTCAAAAAATTTTTGATTACAGTATTCTTACAGAAAAACATTATTTATCAATATACAAACCTAAATTTTTGCTGCACCGCCTCTTGTTTGTCTGTCCCTGTTTAGCCTAATGGTTGACTGGGAAAAAATGCCCTATGCATTAAATCCGCCATATGTACAACTTCGTGCTTCATGCACAATGTTGCACATATGGCAGATTTAGTTTAAATAAATAGGTTACTTTCTTGAATAATTAATTAAAAAAAATCTTTCTCGAAAACAGCACTAATGATTTATATGAAATTTTGTAATCAGAAAATGTTTTATTTTTACAAGTTCTTAAATAAATGTAATCCCTGAGATAATTTTTCCCGAATCCCGGTTTTGAGCTTAAATCTCTCTTACTTTTTTTTTAATAACGTCACCTGTACCTATCGTGGACGCAGTTTACAAACAAATTACACAAGAAAAAACACATTCAGACCCAAAAAAATTACTTGTATGCCATACTAATACCTATACCGTGCGGGATTCCAACCCGCAGCCCTCAGCGTCGTAATTTAATGCTAAGTCACTGCACCACGGAGTCAGGAAGTTGGCGGTGTTTCACCTCTGTCCCTCTGTTAGCACATCAACGACTTTATCGTTGATTCTGCACCTGACTTCACTCGTGTTGGTTTGCCGTCCCATCGGACTATGAGAGTAAGGCAGTAAATAGTGAGTGCACCTGTGCTTGCGCACACACTCTTGTAGTATAATCCTATCCGCAGATCGGTAGTCTTCGTTAAAACTGGCGGTCGTGACCGAAATTCGATCTGGGGGACCTTACTACAACATCAGAGTGATTCGACTAGTGTTATAAGGGATTTCTTAAAAATGCGGCAGTGATTGAATGTCATCTTCATTTTCAACCGACTTCAAATAAGATCAGGTTCTCAATTCGTCAGAATCTTTTTTTTTTTTAATGTATGTTCACCGATTACTCGAAGATGCCTGAACCTGAATTTGGAAAATTCTTTTTTGTTTCAAAGGGTATACTTCCCATTCACAGGTTGGTCCCATTTAAAATTTTTCAAAATCGGTCGATCGGTTTACAAAAAAAATCATTAATAAATTATATTTATATGGAAGTCCGTTGTACAATTTTTTAATTTTACCACTTTTCAAGGTCATAATCGGTGCAGTGTACCGCTACTTCGAACCCTGGCTGAACACAACCACCTACCGCGAGTGCCACATGGTGGAACGCGACGCCTATCACTCCCCCGTACAAAGCTGCGTGGGTATAGGTCAACCTATACTGTTCTATTTGGAAGCTGTCTGGTGGCTGGCTGGATTGACAGTGGCCGCGCTTTTCTTACACGCCGTGACCCTCAGGTAAGGTTTTTTTTATAGAATAACTGTGACAAACGAGCACACAGCCCACCCGATGGTAAGTGGATGCTGCATAGACATTTATATCGATCCTCGATTAAGAATCAAAATGCAGATGCATTGTCACCCTTGAAGATAGGATGGTATGCCTCGTATCCAGCAGCAGCGAAAGAGCAGCATTGAGCTGCTATTTTACGCTGGTATTCTGTGAGATTGTGATCCTTTCCTGGTCGAGCCAACCAATTCCTGCTACAACTATAATTTAGCGGTAGCATGGTAAAATAAAAAGTAAAATTACAGTGACGGCAACAGTTGACGGCTCCGTGACGCAATGGCTTAGCAATGATTTGCGGCGCTAAGGTCTGCGGGTTCGAATCCCTCGCAGAACAAGTATTTGTTTGCCCTTGTGGAATTTATGTATGTAAATGCCACATATGTATGCCACGATACAGCTGGAGAAATCCTAGTGTGAAGGTAATGTTTATTAACGAAAATAATAATAAAACTGTTGGGTTTTAGGGCAAGTTAACGTACGAAGTACAACTCTACATCATGTCCTCACCATTTTTTCCTTCACCGTTGATCACGTGATAAATACGCACTTAAAATTGCAATTAACAATTTCGTAGGTGTCGGTGAAAATCGAACCCGGGTTGCTTGCGTATTATAAAATTTACAGCGAGCGCTTAGCAAGTCAATTGTGTGATCTATTTTTCTTCTTCTCCATCAGCATGTAAAAGTCCAGTTCTAGACATGAACGTCTCCCATTAAGAGAGGATTTGCGCCAATGAAAGGCTAATAATGTTGCGCTCAAAAGATGTCGCTAGTTGACACTGGGGTGAAGTTTTTTGTTACACAAGTTTATCAGCTTCTAGAGTATTATATAAATACACAAAACAATACCTTAGTTGTTTTCTCTTTAAATTTTTTTGCACATTTTTCACTTTTTTAATTTATCTTCTTTTATGAATATCTGTAGTTTGGTTTATTTATTTTTAATCTAATTAACCTTTACATTTTTCGAACAACTTAACTACTCTGCTAATATAATATAATCTGTCAACATAATTTTTAAGTGACACCATCTAGTGGCAGAAAGATTCGTGGATGTCCTCAGTCACATTTGGCAGGTGGGTTGACTACCGCAGTATCAGACGTGAGCCGGCCATTTTACGTCTGACTTAAACGAGATGGTTATATCGCCATTTATAGTTAAGTTTAAATGATAGATTTTGTCTGAAACATTGAGTTATATGTACTACGTACTAGAGAAGCCATTCCAAACAAAAATTGTGTCCTACTCTGTCTTCGCGCATGCACGGGAGTAGTAGTAGCGCATGCGCGAAGACTAATTTGATATAAAATAAGATATTCATATAAAATAAATATAAGAATTTAATATAAAATATCTTATTTTAATCTAAACAAACATATTTCTAAATAAAATGTATTAATAATTATCTTATTAAATTCACAAATCTTCAATTTACGCAATATATAGTTTGTACGGATTGCAGTACAGTTGAGTTGAACATAGTCAACGTTCGGAATGCGAAATCTAGAGCATAGTATATATATATATATATATATATATATATATATATATATATATATATATATACATATATATATATATCGATGGTCTGAAATCAATGTTTTATATTGTCACAATCTCTTCTTATCGTCTTTATGGATTATTTCTTTATTGTAAATTGATCCACCGTTAAAATAACTAAAAGATTATACAAAACAAGTTTTAAGGATAAGGCTAAAGCATTGCCGTGGAACGGAATGAAAGCGAATTTTTGTAACAAAATTGTACATGGTAAAATGAGTTTTATGTTAATTGCGTAACGTGCAAACTAGATATGAGCCAAAAAGAAATCGCGCGTCTTCCAGAGAATTCCCGCGCATTCTAGAGGATTTCCGTAGCTACTGTCGGCGCAGTCTATGAAGTCCGCGGGAAGTGGCGCATCGGGTGACGTTTTCGTTTCCTTTTCTCATCATTTTCTACTTCTTCTGCCCCTGATTTTTCTGAATGTTGTCAAATAAAAGATCTAGACTAAATTACTGAACGTCCTCTATAACGTCAAGTCTCAGTCGCGGGAATGCTCGAGCATTTTCGCGAAATCGCGCGCCTTCTCGCGCGACGAGGCAAAGTTGATTCTTCCGTTCTGCCGCAATGTAAATTGAACCTTAGGCCCCAGTCGTGGGAACGGAGCATTCCCGCGACTGAGCCTTAACTTAAGCATCATTCAGTTATTTAGTCTAGATATTTTATTTGACAAGAATGATTGATTGGATGTTACTTTCCTATTGCTTATTTGACGAATATCAGAAAAAGGAAAAGAAATATTTGGGTTCATGATTTATGGAAGAAATGAAGACGTCACCCTTCGCGCCACTTCCCGCCGATTTTGAAATGTTCTTTCAAATGAAATAAGAATCATAAAAATCGATTCACCTAGAAAAAAGTTCTGAGGTAATACAAAAAAATTACAGTCGAATTGAGTACCTCCTTGTTTGTTGAAGTCGGTCAAAAAAGGGTCATCGGTTATATACACAACATTATACGACACACAGCAGCAATAAGCTGCTATTTAACGCTGATATACTGTGAGAGCGTGGTCCTAACGCGTGAGCCGACCCATTCATACTGCGACCAAAATAATAGTTGCAGGGCTCTAACATATATAATTGCGTAAATCAGTAGCACTGTAATATTATGCAGCTAATAAAATATAACGCTAAGCGTGATCTTCGTCAATTGTGCAACAGTGCATATCATGAAAAAATAGGGGATGAAGTTTTTAATGTAACTAGATAACATTCGAGTTTTTGATATTGCAAATTAGATTTTTAATGGAAAAGAAAATGCCAACAAAACAACTAAAAGTAACAAAATATTTTGCGCTTGATTGCTTTAGAATTCTTTGTACCGACTTATTTAATGCGGGACTTATTTTTCTTTTTAGTTTTTTTTGAAGTCTACATTTACTTTTTATCAAAAGTAAAATTTTCGTTGATAGATAACTTAAATTTAGTGAGGGTGGAACACTAAAAACCCAATTCATATTCTGTTCTATTACATTATATACAGGGGGTTATTTTTCAAAGAGCAGCCAAATTTTAAACTTAAGTTCAAATATATAAATAATGATATACCGTTATTGCAGTTTTTGAAAATTAGAGTAGATAAAGCTTCTACTTTTATTTGAAACTATCCTAAATTGAATGTAATTTATGGGCAACAACGTTTTTGCCTACTGATCGACCCTTACAAATTTGTGCGTGCGCAGTAAAATCAGTTAAAATAATGGATTACCACGCATTTTGAATTTAAAAGATAAAAAGGACAGAATTATTCGGATTTTTTTTAATTAATTTTTCTGAACTGTTATTGTAAAATAACCCCGTATTTCTCAACTTGAGTAATGAATAATTCTTGTCCTCAGCGAAAGCATCTTCGGTGGTATACTAGCAGTGCTTCAATACTTCGCGAACCACACGGAATGCACCCGCGTACAATGGGCCCCCAATGAAAGGGAGAACCTAGCGCTGCCATTGCTGTTGCTTCAAGGCTGGCTTCTGACTCTGCAGTTGAGGGTCAAAGAGAGAAGCAACGCCTTACAATTACAGGTAAATAAAATTAGTTTTCTTAATCATTATCGTCATTACCACTCATGATAAGTGTGCTGCTATTTTATAGAATAATGTTGTGTTCCATCTAAATCTGCCATTGATTAAGAATCAATATGCAGATGCGTTGTCACCCCTGAGGATTAAGATGGAATGCCTCGTTTCCAGTAAAAAGGGTCTCCGGATCTCCACACTCCCCATACGAAACACAGCAGCGTTAAACTGCTACTTTAAATAATAATAAATAAAAATGATTTATTTTTCAGGCATCGTAAGCCCATAGGATGTTAGTAATAGAAATAAAACTTAAAAACTAATGTTAGTAAATAAAACAGCAGGTGTCAAAATCGTGATTTTCTTTTTTGGCACTAAACCAACATAATATGTTTGTATTTATGAAGTATATGTATATAAACTATAGAGAAGAAAATTCTAGAGTGGAGGTAACGTTTTATAGAAAAACTAGAAAAAGAAACGAAACTAGAAAAGAATATGGTCATTATGATTCATTATGGTCCACGTATTTAGACTTTGTTAATCAACTCTACAGCGCCACCAGCGTCAAAGCTATGAACCATGGTCTCAACAATACAAATATAATGTCGGAGTGTGACTTTTATATGTCAAGTTGTTCAAAAGTTACACAATCACTAACAGACGCGCCGTATAACCTTTAAACTAAATTTTCTGTTGACGCAGTAGCAGGCTGAAGCTAAGTAAGTTGCCGGGGTTTTACCAGCGTGCCTCGAAAAGCATGTAAAACCTTTGGTATTGTGCCTGATCGCTCTCCGTTTGGGTCGGATTGCGGTCCCATCGTACTAAGAGTGTGAGGGAATAGAGAGCGGATCTGTGCTTGCACACACATTTTTCACTATGATCATATCCTGTGCAGATGGCTGGTCTCCGTTGAGACTGGTCGCCGTGACCGAAATTCGGTCAGGAGGACATTATTATATTTTTTTTATATATATCAAGACGTTTATTTGTTTCAGATCTCAATATTCTTCATCAACTGTCTCTGCCTGCTTTTCTGGCAGTTCACCCAATTCATTTTTCTCACACAACTGGCGATTTACTTCGTAATGGAGCAGCTTCGCATCATTGACGTAAAAACCCTCTCCATCTTCCTTCACTCCCACTTTTGCGGCTTGCACATGGCTGTCTTACTATTGCAAGGAAATGATATGCTAAAATCGTCCTTATACACTTCTTTCTTTCTTGTTTTGTCAGCATATTGCATGTTCTTCAGTTCGTTACGCGTTAAGGTCAATAATCGCGTGGACTTGCTAGTCGAGTCGTGGCTGGTTTTACTTAGAGTGTGCATAGTGATATGTACGTCGTTCTATTTAAAGAAACTTATTAGCGATTTCTTAGAAGTTCAAGAGGATTCCCATGTGTGGGATATTCTATATTCCAAGTTCACAGATTACAAATCATTCCACACGTTAATATATACCTGTTCGAAAGTTTTCGACTTCTTACCTTGGAGTAGTGTTATTAATATGTGCGTTTCTTTCCTTATTCCAATGGTCCTTATAAATATATATAGCGTACTTGTTACGTCATTAACACACGCTGCTGAAGAGTGCACTAAAAAGATAGATAAAAAAATTAGTTCAATAGAAAGAGACAAAGCATCTGAAGTTAACGAGGAGACGGACGATAGTGGTATAGAGAACAGCACAGAAACTAAAGTGAGGAAGCGGAAACAAAGTCTACCAAAGGATTTGGACGTTATTGATAAAGAAATAAAGGAGAAAATAGAGAAGCAAGATCAGTTAGAGGAGACAAAGGATATACTGATATTTCTTTTAAGGAACTTGCAGTTAGAACCGGCGGTTTTCTACAACATAGCACAGATGGTGGCGTTTGGCATAATGGCTGTATTAGTCATGAGGTTAAAGCTATTGTTCGCGACGCAGCTGTGCCTGCTGTCATCTTTGATGTTGAATAAGAATCATTACATGTAAGTATTTTGTACGTGGTAGATACATGTTGCAGCTATATTATGGTTGTAGTGCGGCTAGGTCGGTTCCCGGGGCAGACCACGCTCTCACAGAATACCAGCGTAAAGTAGCAGCTCAATGCTGCTGTGTTTCGTATGGTGGGTGTAGATAAACGGAGACTCTCTTTACTGGAAACAAGGCATTCCATCTCATCCACTTACCATCAGGTGAACTGTGTGCTCGTTTCTCATCCTAATTCTCTAAAAAAACTCGCTCACTCCGCCGGTAGTGCAGTGACCTCCACTGACCAATATTTGTATGGATATAATGTACGTGATATTTAGTACTACCGACGCGGGCATAGCATTAGTTTCTCCTTAATATGCTACTGTAGATGAACCCCGCGTTTGTGTGCATGCGTTACAAAACATTTGTATAAAAATTCCCCACTCTCATTCACTCTGTCGATAACACAGATTTACTATTTGTATGGCTTTGGTCTAGAAATAACACGTGTGGATGTTTGCCCATGCTATTTGTGTATATTTGACGCCTCCACGGTGCGAAGAAAATATACGAGAACTATAGAAAGACAAGAAATGCTTTTTACATTAATCATAGTTGTCACTTACGACAACTAACAAGAAGAAATTGAGTATTGGATGACGTCATCAGGACACGTTAAAATAAAAATTCTTGTATTTTTTTTTGTAAATTTCTGATGTAAAATATTGTGACTAGCATTAAGAAAAGAATGCTTGAGTGATTTGGACACGTAAAAAGAATGAATGAAGAAAAGCTTTAACAAAATTTTTTTTTTTTAAAAATTTACTTCGCAAATATCCGCGTTATAAAATAAAATGATGTGTCTTACCTAGTATGAAGAAGCACCTCCCGCCCTCCCTCAATTGCGTGCACTAACCCCGTCACCACTAATCCCAGCAGCCGACTCTACGGTGGCTAACCGCTAAGTAAGTTAGCGGTTAGCCACCGTAGAGTCTATATCACCTGAGGATGCCTCGTGTAGAGGCGAAACACGTGTCGTATTATCGTCAGTGGTGTGTCTTGCCTAGTGTAGTGGTGTTGGGAGTAGCGGTGCTGGGATTAGTGGTGACGGGGTTAGTGCACGCAATTGAGGGAGGGCGGGAGGTGCTTCTTCATACTAGGTAAGACACATCATTTTATTTTATAACGCGGATATTTGCGAAGTAAATTTTTGTTAAAGCTTTTATATAATGGATTTCCGCAAAGTAACGCCTGATTCTATTAATTATATGAATGAAGAAAGAAAAGAGTGACAATGCAAGCTGCAGTGAGTGAATGGCAGAGTCGGCAATGGTCGCCCAAGACGGAAGTTTATCGATCAAATAGGTGATATATTAAAGATAGGCCAAAATAAAAGAGCAGAGCGGCTCGAATCGTCGACGACCGAGTCCTTTCCGATCGGCTAGATTCATTGGCGGTGCGAAGAGATGTTGCAGCCCTTTTGCATTTTCTTTCGCATTTACCACGGAGAGTGCTCTGAGGAATTGTTCGGATTAATCCCAGCCGCCAAATTTCACGAACGCACATCGCGGCAGAACTCCCGATACCATCCACACCATAAGGATGATTGGCGGTCCACTACTGTGCGATTTAGAAGATGTTTTCTTCCTCGCACAACTTCCCTGTGGAATCAATTACCACCAGGGATTTTCCGGACCGATACGACTTAGGGACCTTCAAGAAAAGAGCTTACTCCTTTTAAAAAGGCGGGCAACTCATCTCTAATTCCCCTGGTTCCCCTGGTGTTGCAGTTGTTAATACCTTCAAGAAAAGAGCTTACTCCTTTTAAAAAGGCGGGCAACTCATCTCTAATTCCCCTGGTTCCCCTGGTGTTGCAGTTGTTAATGGGTGGCGGTAGGGAGTTACCATCAGGTGAGCCGCATGCTCGTTTGCCCCCTCTCCTATATAAAAAAAACCCTCAACCGACGAGCATGTATGCGAAGGTATATGGATGAGAAAGAAAGGATAGAGGTATGTCATGATCGTGCTAAATAGAAGTCCGTAGTATCTGCCTACGTCATAGGTAACAGGCGTTATAGTTTATGTTTATATATTTCGTAAATTATGTAAATTAGGTTTTTTCTTTTAATTTGTATTTTTATATACAATTTTTTTTTCCTTTTTAAAGCATTCCAAAAGGCGTATCGAAGTATATTCCGCTGCTCTGGCTTCTCATTTTAGCGCCGATCGTGCGCGTCCTGATGTACAGGGTGTCGCAAGAGATGTCACATATAGGTCAGTATAACGTAAACAAAGTCTTATTCCTCTTTCTCATCAGCCTGTATAGTCCACTGATTGACATTGGCCACTCCCAAAGTAAAGAGACTTTGCCTTAATCGTCACGCTTGGTACGCGAATTGGCGATTGCAGCGACTCAGTCCCAGACGTCTCGCACCTTTAATGCCGCTCCCCATCATCAGTCTGGTTATTTTAAATTTTGTATTTATGAGATGGTGTACTTTTCCGTGGTAGAGCCACGCTACATCTATATTATTGTAGCACGAATGGGTTGACTCGACCGCGGAAAGACCAGGCCCTTATGCTGGGGCACAGTTTTTAATAAAGTTATTATTTAATTATTATTTATTATATAATAAAATAACGCGTTGAAGCGGCCACACTACGTTTGTCTCATTGTGCACGGTGAGCGCATCGGGGTCGCACGTATGGCTGTGGTGGAGTCGAATGATGAAAAAGTTATTAAGTTTCTTGAGAAATTAATAAACATAAATAGACTTCAGTGTACGTTTCCTATGCATTTGTAGCATCCACCATCTTTTTTTCTTTTTGTATTATTTTTTCTTCGTTTAGCAATGATAAAATATATTCATATAATAAAAATTTACACTCATCAAATATAGAGTAGCAGCGTCAACGTCCATCTTGCTTGAAATTCAATAACGCCAACTTTAACGCCGTACAATGGCATTGAAGTTGAAATGACGATGACCGTTCAAGTGTGTCCACTCACTTTATCGCGTTAAAATTAAAGCAATAATTGTTGCTTTTATGGTCATTGACTTTTCCCGTTAGTGTAACCCCAGTAATACAGAATATCAGCGTGAAATAGCAACTTAATACTGCTCTGATTGGTGTGATGAGTTTAGGGAGCCGGAAACCCTTTTTACTGGAAACGAGGCACTTAGTCCTCAGGCTTGACATCACATCTGCATTTTGACATCTAATCTATGGACCACAGCATCCACTTACTATCAGGGACTGTGTGCTCGTTTGTTAAAAAATGCAATAGTAGACATCTGCATTCTCTGACAAAACTTAAGTGATGTCTATAATGACTATCTCTATTTAAATTAAATAACGCATACATAGCGAAGGATGTTACATTGCCATCGCCAATCCGCAGTGGACATACAGTAAAATTAAAGTTATAGACGTACAGACATACAGTCGTATAAACGATCTACTGCTGGACACAGGTATCCTCTCATTTCTGATGCTCCAGTGTGTTGTGGCAAACTTCACATATTCTCGAAATATTTGAATCTCAAGACATGCAGTTTTCCTCACTGTGTTTTACTTCACCGCCGAGCACGTGGCAAATCAGCACTTAAAATTGCAATTACTAAGCTGGCACGACGCGACTGGATATTACATTAAAGCAACAGCCTACACCTTTCATTTCTGAGAGGGGTTAGAGCAAGAAAGTGTCCGCCGCGCTGCCCCTGTGCGTGTTGGCAAACTTCACATGTCTTCGAATTTTTTTTAATTCTTATTTCTCAGACATGCATGTCTCCTTATAATGTTTTCCTTCACCGCCGAGCAGGTGGCAAATCAGCACTAAAAATTGCAATTAACAATTTCATTAGTGCCGGCGGATGTCGAACCCGGGCAGTTCGCATACTGTGAAATTTACAGCGAGCGCATGCCCCAGATCTACCACGACTCTTTTTATTACGTAACTACATGAAAATACTTTTCGTATTATATGGATTCGCTTCGACGGTATTCGAAACCGGGCCCGACCGTATCGTTGGGTTATACGATCACTAAAAGGTAAAGGATTTCAAAATGCTGTTACAGCCTATGAAAAGTCCACTGCTGAACATAGGTCTTCCCATAGATTTTCTTAAAGGGCTCTCATATTTGCTATAGTTACCATGCTTTGCAAACGGGTTGGCAACAGAATTTATTATTTTTAGATTTTATTATACAGTTAAACCTGGATAACTGGGACCTTAAGGGACCAGCAAATTTGTCTCACTTAAAGAGGTATTCCACTTACCCAGTGTCTCAGATATCCAGGTATAAATAAATATCTGTCTCATTTACAGAGGGTTCCATTAATAGAGCTTATTTTAGATAAAGGTGCGGTTATTAAATAAAATAACTTACATTCTCAAATTAAGATCCGGACGATAGCAAAACCTAACTAAAACTGGAGGTCACTTTTACACAATTAGTCCAGTGCGGAATTTGCGGGTACGGTACGGTACATAAAATATTGTCTCAGTAAAAGAGGTCAATAATTATAGAGGTAGTTATGACGATAAAATCGAAAGAACTAATCCCAGATATAGAGATTTGTTTTGTCCCACTAACAGAGGTAATTCAGTGCTGAAGTGTCGGGACCTAAGCATGAGTTCGAGCTATGAGGTTTCTCACTTATCCAGGTCCCACTTAACCGAGTTTTACTGTGTTAAGTCTTACCGTATAGTGGCAGTGTAAGAATATCCAGTACCTCATATCGTTCCGTGGGTGAGAGGCGAGATAGGGAAACTGATACAGCAGCATCTTCATGATAATAACTCCAAATTATGAAATCTGCGATTTCCAAGCGAGGCAACTATGGCAAAATCAAATATGAGACAATCTATTTCTTGATGAGGAGGACTTTTATGGGCTGTAATGAATGGATGAATTCGTTCGTCTGTCGCCCTTTGCGACACCCACGGGACGAAAAGGTGTAGTGGAAACTCTTACACGGTTAATTTAGAAATTTCAGAATAATTTCAGGTGAATTCAGTGACTACCCACAAGAGGAGTTATTAGAGTGGATAGTTCGCGAAGCGGGGAGTGGTGCGTTTGCGGGTTCGATGCCGGTGCTGGCCACCGTTATGCTTTGTACGCGAAAGCCCATTGTAGCCCATCCTCACTACGAGCATTTGGAGGCCAGGTGAGCTACCTTATCCATAATTTTATACAAATGTAAAGATTTGGCCCCTTGCCTAGGCCTAGGGGCGGGAACCTTTCGAGACGGAAGAGCTAAAAGTTACAATTTACGAAATTGACCAGTTTTGAAAGAGTCACTAAAACGCTTCATCAATATTACAATCACTAAAATAAACTAATTTATAAGAAATAGTACGTATTCATATTAAAACGTACAGATGTTTTAACAAAAAATATATTAAAGTGCTTTAGCTAGAATAGTAAAATAATTAATTTTTGCGTATCGAACTGAAGAGCCACAACTTACATCGAAAAAGCCGCAGGTTGCGGACCCCTGGCCTAGGCATTTCTTCACTAGACAAAAATCTTATTATAACATTTTACTGCTAAACTTCTGAAATCTTTTTTCGTATAAAACATCCTGTGTGTTTGGTGAACAAGATTGTTGCAATTACTAAGTTAAATTCATTGTGGACAATAATAATAATAATGTTCTTCAAATCGAATTGCAGTCATGGTGGCCATTCTGAGCGGATACGTCAGTCATCTGTGCGGGGCAGGATTATAGTGCACGGTTGTGTGCGCATGTGTATTTTATATGTGGTAGAGCCATGCTGCAGCTATTAGTAGTATAGTTGTAGCACGAATGGATCGGCTCGACTGGGGAAGGACCACGCTCTCACAGAATACCAGCGTAAAATAGCAGCTTAACGCTGCTGTGTTTTGTATGGTGAATGTAGAGAACCGGAGACCCTTTTTACTGGAAGCGAGGCATTCCATCTTAGTACCCACGGGTGACAACGTATCTGCATTTTGATTTTATGATGTAGATGTCTATGGGCCACAGTAATCACTTACCATTAGGTGGGCTGTGAGCTCGTTTCTCACCCTTATCCTATCAAGAAAAAATGCACACGCGCAGTTTATTCCCTTACTCTCATAGTCCAAAGAGCCAGTAATCCGGCACACGACCGAAGAGAGATCTGGCGTAGGACCAACGGCTTTACGTGCTTTCAAACAAATTGAAGTGACCCTTTGTAATGTCGAATGTATGTAGTATATACGGTACTTTAACTTTAAAAACTATTTTTAAAAATTTTGTCTGTATGTCTGTTTGTTCCGGCTAATCTCAGAAATGGCTGGACCGATTTTGACTAAACTTTCACTGGCAGATAGCTGATGTTATAAAGAGTTACTTAGACTACTTTTATTTTAGTAAAAATATTTCGGATTCCGCGCAAAAAATTTAAAACCATGAAATACAATTGTAATAAATTTCAAGCGGACGAAGTCACGGGGCACAGCTAGTGGTGAATATTTTAGTATCGTTTTCTGTTTTAGGCAACGTGCCTACTCCGTATACAAAGTGTACGGAAGATTCACAGCGGAGGAGTTGTATGAGGAGTTGACCAAGCTGAAGGCCACGTACCTAATAGTGGAGACGAAATATTGCTATGGGAGGAGCAAGTGAGTAGCATATTTTGTTTAATCAACCTGGGTTACAGTTTTCAAGTCGTAATTACGTTTTGCACTTCACATTTCCACTTAAATTCGTTTAATAATAATTAAAAATGAAAAATGTTGTACAACCGACTTCAAGATAGATTATTTATTGCACTCAAACAAAAAAATAATTTGATACAAAAGCTAACTTAGTGCCAAATAGGCATTCTCTGCCAGCAGACCTTTGGTAGTATGGTAAGAGCTATGGGTAGAGCCGCAAGAGAAAAAACAAACATATTTACACAAATCATTCAAAAACACATCATATTATAATATAAAGATGTTAGTTTTACATATTATATACACGAGGCAGCCACTCGAGAACATTCCCCCCTTGAGCAACGAGACATGTCCTCGCCTAAATTAATATAAAAAATGTTATTCTAATTTAAAATAATATTACTAAATATATGTAATGGTATCTTTAAACTTGTGACGGTATTACCCGATGGCCGGCCATGCTGCATGTGTTGCCATTTAACTAAATATTATTTAATTTAAAGTTTTGAGGGGTAATTTTATTTATTTATTCTCAAAAAAAAAAGAACTTCATGAAAAGAGATTATGTTACTCTGATCTCCTATCCATCCTATGCCTCTGTGAACATGATACATAAAAGCACCTTCACGGATAGTAGGTTGTAGACATACGTCAAACGATCCATCCATCCATTACAACCTATAAAATTCCACCGCTGAACATAGGCCTCCCCCGCAGTTTTCTATACTAGGAACCGGAGACCTTGTTTACTGGAAAAGAGGCATTTCATCTAAGTCCTCACGGCTAACAACGCATCTGCATTTTGATCCTTAATCGAGGAAAAATGTAGATGTCTATTGGTCACAGTATCGACTTGCTATCAGGTATGTCACTCCCATTCTACATTTAATAAATCCTGTTAGGGGATTTTGCTATCGTTGTCACGCTTAGCAGGTGGGTTAGCAGCCGCAGTTTTTTATTATATTGAGTTTTATTTATAGAATAAGGGTGACAAACGAGCACAGACTCCACCTGATGGTAAGTGAATGATGTGACCCATAGACATCTACATTTATCGTCAATTAAGAATCAAAATGCAGATGCGTTGTCACCCCTGTGGCCTGAGATGAAATGCCTCGTTTCCAGTAAAAAGGATGTCCGATTCTCTACACTCACTGCTGCTATTTTACGCTGGTATTCTGTGAGAGCGTGGTCCTACCCCGGTCGAGCCGACCCATTCGTGCTGCAACCACAATATATCTGCAGCATGGCGCTGCCACGTAAAGAGTTATTAACTGAAAGATGCTGCTGCCCATCTCCTCTTTCAGTTTCCGTCTGTCTTATTTTACGGCACACACCTCTATACGATCTTTCCTTTCAGCAACGGTTGCTCTTTCGGCGAGATCTGGGACATCGAGGCCCCCGCGACGGTCAGTCGACCCCAGCTGTGCCACACGCTGCTCACAGAGTCCGTGGACCATTTCTATCCCGTGTTCAGAAATCAGTTGTATACCGTGTTCCGGATACACGACTTCAGCGTTCGGTAAGTACAAATTAAATGGCAAGAAATTCCCTATCGAGGGGAATTCCCTATTGGTCAGTAGAGATCGGACATGAATATACACAACAGATTTCTATTTTAATATACAAAATGTTATCTACCCCCACACTAGGATTTTCTCCTGTGTCGTGGCGGCAGTTTACAAACATAAATTTCACAAGGACAAACATCCAGACCCGCAGCAATTATTTGTAGGCCATACAAATACTGAAGCTGCAGTAACTTAGGGGCTAAGTGCTCGTTGTAAATTTTACAATACGCGAGCATCCCGGGTTCGATCCCCGCCGGTGCCAATGAAATTGTTGCAATTTTAAGTGCCGATATACCACGTGCTCGGCGGCGAGGGAAAACATCGTGAGGAAACCTAAATGTCCGAAATATAAGAAAAAATATTTCAAAGACGTGAAGTTCGCCAATACGCATTGAGTGATTTTCCCTTGCCTTAAAACCCTCTCAGAAATGAGAGGAGGCCTGGGCCCAGATGTGGTAATATACAAATACTTGTTTTGTGCGGGCTTCGAACTCGGCTCTGCAACTCATTTCTAAGCCACTTAGTTTCGGAGCCGTAAATTCTGTTAACATAATAATTTGTTAGATTTACGCAAAAATATTTCTTAAATTTATAACAAAATGTATGTTTTACTTGCTTAGGTTGTCCGACTAATGTGTTTTTTTATAGAACAAGATTTTGATTTTTTTAGACCGGGAAAGGATCACGCTCTCAAAATGCCAGCGTATAAAACCAGTAACTTAATGCTACTTTGTATCGTATGATGAGTGTAGAGGACTCCGGTCCTCAAGGATGACTACGCATCTGCACTTTGATTCTTAATCGAGGATAGATGTAGATGTCTATGGGTCACAGCATCCACTTACCATCAGGTGAGCTGTGTGCTCGCTTGTGTCACCCTTATTCTATAAAAGAATAATTAATTAAAAGCTAAAGGTAGCTCGCGTTTCCTATGACATCAGAAAGTCAAACACCCCAGTCCCCCACCCGGACGTAACCGTGGGTGCTGTAAATCATCTATAATTTTAGCAATGAAAAAAATTATTAAAATAAAACGCAATTAAAGCCATTAATTTAGTTTTATAGACTTTGCATCAATATTGGATCCGGTTGGTATATGGTATATGGTGTGGAAACCAGGAACCGTGTAGTGGCGATGTAAATATTCTTACTACTCCATATCGCCCCGTAGATATCGTAAGAGGCGACAGTGAGAAATGAATCGGGAAATGTGCAGCAGGCATTTTCATGATAATGTTACCCGCTTGCAAAACTTGGCAAAGTATCCCACCTGCAGGCCTAGAGACATGGGCAGGAGGCAATTTTATCCCCGGGGAAAGGGAAAATGTTTATCCTCTCGTTTAGTTTTATCCACTCTTCGAGCATGGGCACACCGGTGGATATAATATCCACAGTAGATAAAATGGGAGATAGACTTAGACAGACTTTTTGTATGAATATAAACTTAAACCCACGTCCAATGAACTAGGATAGAATTGTCCTATGAAATGTAAAAAAAGCATAATTTTTTATCTTTCATTTCGCTCCATGCTACGGACGGGGGATATATGTCTACTCGTTATGTCAAACGGGGATATACTTTCTCCCCGTTGCCGTGCTTTGGCATAGAGACAAGATAATTTTATCTCTTGTCCCCAGCCCATGTTAGCCGTGCTGCGAGACAATTTATGGGGGAGGCCTATGATCAGTAGTGGATTTTTGATAGCTTGTGATGATGAATTTTAAATGATGAATTCAAACCTAAGTATATCACTGCAAGATTTCAAGATACCGTTGTGAGTTCATTCCACGTAGATAATTCTGCATAGAGGGTCCAGTTTAACTAAATATCGAAATTAATTTAGTTAATGATTCGTACATAATAAAAGAAGAAATTACAGACTAATTGCTAAGCTCCTCCAGTTGTATTATATTATTTTTGTAATCCTTCATATATCTTCCTACCACACAAATCACTAGCGACCCGCCCCGGCGCCGCCTGGATAGGATCTACTTGGCATTATTTAGATTTAATGATAATCAAAGACCATTATTTTATCAAATTTCCGAATCTGGAGGGTAATGTTATCAGCCTATATATTTATGTAAATATGTATGTTTGTTCCTTTGTGGCGCTCTATAGACCAAACGCTTGGCCAGATTTTGATGATTCTTACGTCAGTCGATTTGTCTTAATCTTGTGAGTGTCATTAACCGATTCGTTGCGGCACCGATTTTCGACAACTTTTAGCTGTGGCGGCGAACAAATATTTCATGACACGCCTATTGTGCCATCAGCCATGTGTAAAAGTAATGTTCTTTTTTATGCTTTTTTCACTTGTTTAGACCTAATTAAGTTTATTTGACATCAAACATCAGTTACAAACGGAAGGATACTTGTTTTTAGTGGGTAACTTAGTGTTTTTATACTTGTTTTCTTTGAAATTTAGAGTAAATGACTTTTTATGCAGAGATTACAAACCTTTTGTACTATTTTTTGTTTTATAAAAAAATAATTTATATAAGTAGGTACAGCTAAATCACCCTGGAAAACCTTGGTCTTTATTAATTAAACTTTTCACCTAATAATAACATTTGTAAATATGAAACAATCAAGATCCTTAATTTGGAAAAAAATAAGGTTTATGATTCATTGATATTTACAAATGTTAAATATTATTTAATTTTATACAAATTTAAAAGTAAAGTCGATCTGAAAACGTCTAATTAGTAAGAATAGCAAAACAAGTATTTTCAAAAGGAAAAAAACGCCGACGCTATACGGCGGCGGATTGACAAAAGACTATTTATTAGCGAACTTTTTTATGCATGAACGGTTTCGAACTGTTTCAAGCAAAAATAAACCTTATACCATATCACAAGAGCACATGGTACTTCGTAGGTCTTTTCGACCATATGATAGTTATAAGACGGCACAAAATAAAAAGAGTACCATGTACAAGTTAAAAAAGGTTGACAACCCCTAAAAATTCAAATTTTCAAAATATCCAGGTTTGAAGCTGCAGACATGAACTACTTGCAAAATAATGAATATTTTGTTCTGGATAAATTTTCCAAAAACGCAATTTAACGATTTTAAAACAAAGACACGCCTGGCGTGTCATCCGCACTGAACCGGTTAAAGACATGACAGTAACCAAAATTCAATATGGCGACAACGTGACGCCATATTGAATTTTGTGAAATTATACGTAGTAGAGTCATGCTGCAGCTATATTAGTAGTATAGTTATAGCACGAATGGGTCGGCTCGACAGGGGAAGGACCACGCTCTCACAGAATACCAGCGTGAAATAGCAGCTTAATGCTGTATGCGTATGGTGAGTGTAGAGAACCGGACACCCCTTTTACTGGAAACGAGGCATTCCATCTTAGTCCTCACGGGTGACAACGCATCTGCATTTTGATTCGCAAACGAGGATAGATGTAGATGTCTATGGGCCACAGCAACCACTTATCATCAGGTGGACGGTGTGTTGGTTTGTCTCCCTATCCTATAAAAAAAATTGATTAGAAGAAAATAATTTTAAATTTTGTACAACCGACTTCAATATAAATTATTAAGAATAACTCAAAAACTATTGCTCAGACCTTGATCAAATTTATATGGGGATCACATGAGAAGCACCAGCTTTGAAATAAAAAAAAGAACGTACAGTCGAATTGCGTACCTCGTCCTCTTTGAAGTCGGTGGAAAATGAAAGTCTACAAACTATGTGGTGTATATATTCATGTGGGTAATCGTTGATTAGGTCTTTGAAAATCGTATTTAGGCTTCTCTAGTCATTTCTCATTTTGAATGATCACTAGTCATTTTTCAATTTGAGGATCTAACACGAGTTAAAGTTGGTTAGTAACGATTCTCGCTTAAATTTACAAAACTTATAATAAAGCTGTGATAAAGTTCTTATATAATCGTGTAATGGGTATTATTAGTATTTTTTACGCAGTCGGATGGGTTTTTTAGGGTTCCGTACCTCAAATGGAAAAAACGGAACCCTTATAGGATCACTTTGTTGTCCGTCTGTCTGTCTGTTTGTCTGTCTGTCAAGACCCTTTTTCTCAGGAACGCGTGGAGGTATCAAACTGAAATTCATATCAAATACTCAAGTCTACTGGCCCTTAGAGCTGTGAAAAAATCAAACTTCTAAGCCAACGCAATCAAAAGATACAGCCGTTTATGCCGTAAATTTTCGACATTCGCAAGGGAATCAAAACCTACAGGGTACTTCCCGTGAACTCAGAATCTTGAAATTTGGTACGAAGCAACGTTTTATAGCACAGATAAAGGAAAAATTACGAAAAGCATAGATTTTTAGTTACATCATATAATAAAAATATTTTTTAATAATTTTAAACTTATATAACTACAGATTTGTTGGGAACCCTCGGTGCGCGAGTCTGACTCGCACTTTGCCAATTTTTAACAGTTTATTAACCTTGTTTGTTTCAAAAAATAACTTTAAGAAACGATCTTTAATCATGTCATAAACTTGATCGGATAGAGTAGGAGTTCTCAAAATCTTAAGGTAACGGAACACTCACTAAATACCTTTGATTTTATAGAAACTCATGAAATGTTAACATATCATAAACCACTGTCTATGATATTATATCATTTAAATCAATTAAAATATTATAATTTAATTCTCACTAACTACCTACGTAATCTATATAACATAGTGGGTTCTTCTCAACACATATTTTGCATCAATTTAAAGCAAAAATAAATAATTTCACGGAACCCTGGTGACTTTTCCACGGAACCCTGGTGACTTTTCCACGGAACCCTGGTGACTTTTCCACGGAACCCTGGTGACTTTTCCACGAAACCCTGGTGACTTTTCCACGGAACTCGTAGGTTCCTCTGAACCCACTTTAAGAATCTGAGATAGGGGATCACGGTCTAGTTAATATTAGATACTTACAGCAGTGCTATAGTTTCTTATAACGAACGTACGACTTAGAACTACATAACCTAGTAATATAGTGTCAGATTACGTAAATACCCATGGTATTTACAACATTACTACCTTGTAATAAGATGGTCTTTTTTTTTTTTCAGGTATATGCCGCGAAGCTTCGACACCTGACAGTAACTTGGCCTGTTCCATTAGATCGCAAAAAAAACTAGACTGAATAAACAAACCATATTATTTTTGTATGTTTAAAATATTTGATACTTTAAAGGTTTATTATGATGCGTCATACCGCCAACTTTGTCTCCTAAAATATAACTTGGTTAAGGATGCTAGGGGCGGCTGGATGGATTGTCTTGAATAGCGTAAGTGCGCGAACAAACCGAGTTCCATTCCCGCCAATAAATCAGTTATAGTAGTATAATGAAATAGTAATTTTTAGCGCTGATTTCCCATGGGCTCAACGGTAAAGGAATGTGAGGAAACCTATATTCTTGTGAAATTATAATTATAGACCGGAACATTATTTGTATTAATTATTGAGATGCGGGATTGCAATTGCTGTTATGGGACTATCTACTAGGAATCCAGCACGGGCTGCGTTGAAGTTTTAAAAGTATAGCGGCAAAAACCGTTTTTTTTTTAAATTAAGAAGTTATCGACCATACACTTGTATAGTTGACTATTGCTTCCATAAATTGTTACATATCTCTATTGCTTTCTCTTTCTATTGTCATTTATTGGAGAGAGAGAGAGAGAGAGATATTGGCGAAGCATATCGCCAAAACCATGTTTTAATAAAAAGTGTGTATGTACTTATTATATACGCACGTAGGGAGTTATACTTCTTTAGCGTAACAAAACAAAAAAACTTGAAAGACAATTACCCACTGTAGTTGTAAAAATTCACCCTCATCATTTTTCCCAAATACCCCAAAAGAAGTATAACTTCAACAAATAAGAAATTGTCGGAGATTCTTATCTTGATTATCGATTACTTAAGTATTAATTATCTCTGTATCTTTATCTTTCTATAATTTAATAAAGAGAAAGAGCAACTATAGGCATTACTTAAGATGACGTGGATTATTATGAGTAAGGCTGTCATGGTTTTTTATAATTAATGTTATGTATGTTTTCAGTATAGTTTTTATACATATGAAAATAGTTCATAGTTCATAGGTATAAAAGCAGTCATAGTTGATAGGTATAAAAGCATATTTGAAATAAATGAGACAACATATATGCCCCTACGGGACGAATATTATTGCCAAAATTATATTTTTTTTTTGTTTTAAAAAATACTAATCCTATTAAATATTACTAATATCCCTTTAACCACTTCTGGTAAGCTTAAAATGCTTGTGTTAGAAGAGGTTCACGACATTAGTCGAATGGCGGATTTGAACCCACGATCTTTCGAGTTCGCTGTCCGCGCCCTGTCATCAGGCTACTGACGCTTCTCTGTATATTATATCTGTGTATGTTATAATATTTAATATCTAAAAATAAATTTATCATTACGTATCTATCAAACTGTTTTACGTGACAGAGCTATTCTGCGCTTGTTTTATGGTTGTAGCTTGAAGGGCCACGCTCTCACAGAAAATCAGCCTAAAATACCAGCTTAATGATGCTGTGTTTCGAGTGGTGAGTGTAGAGAACCGGAGACCCTTTTTACTGGAAACGAGGCATTCCATCTTAGTCCTAGTGACTACACAACTACATTTTTAATTCCTTATCGAGCATAAATGTATGTGTCTATGACCCACAGCACCCACTGATAATCAGCTAAACTATTTGTTCATTTGACACCCGCATTAATATATAAAAAAAATAAGTTTACGGACAAATCCAACCTCCAAACACCAATTTTCAAGATACCTTGCCTATTATTTTAGGAAAAATACAACAAAATGCAGTGGTATCACTAAAGACCGTCACACATATATCTATACATATAATAAAATTGTAAATAGCAGATGTCTGTACATTTTATATTTTTGTAATAAAAGTGATTGAGGGGTACTAAAAATAAGTAATTAAATACATTTCTACCATTTTTAGAATTTTCTGTCTGTCTGTCTGTCTGTCTGTCTGTCTGTTTGTTTGTTAACGTATCACGTTTAAAGTACTAATTTATATCATAAGAATTGTTAAGGAAATTATAAAGTAAACCTTCGGGTTACATTTAGTCTTTATTTCATTAAAATCGGTTCTTTCCATCAAAAGTTATGATAAATATTCTGAAGTATGGGTAGGGAATTTGCTCAACGGTGGCTTTGTTTGAGTCATCAAGTTAATGTTAGCAGCGCCATCTCTCTTTAAATATATACATATAATAAAAATGATGATAACATGTGTCTCTTTCTGTACATTGTATATATATATTATGGTGACTATAATCATTATGGGGAACTAAAAATAATTAAATAAGTACATTTTTATAATTTTTAGAATTGTCTTTCTGTCTGTTTGTCTGTTTTTATATGAAAGCATCACGTCTAAAGTAAACATCTTTTTTTTTTTCAAAGAAATCGTTAAGAAAATCATAAAGCGTATCTTCGAGTTACATTTAATCTTTGTTTTATTAAAATTGGTTAATTCTATCGAAAGTTATGATTATTATTTTGAAATGTAGGTTCGAATTTGTTTAATGGCGCCACAAAATCTCAGAAATAGTAATAAAAAGATACGTGTGTAAAAAAAACGTTCTATTATAATATATTTATACTTAAAACACAGTAAAAAAATATATGTTTTCCTTAAATTAAAAAAGGATGTTTTCTCACAAAGAACGTAATAGATGGCGTTGTACAAATTACAACCTTTTCTGAATTGCGGTGTTAAGATTTTTCGCAGGTGAATCGTATTGACACTCACTGAAAAAATTTATGTTCATGAGTCCGACGAAGCTGCAAGACTGTTAGAGCCGTGTAGGCTAACAACACAAAGCACAAACACCGACAGAAACAGAAAAAAGAGACGTACCGCGTACGTCGAAATTATTCATCAAAACTCGAAAACTCGACTAAAAGTAGTAAATTTGCAATAAATGTCGTGATATTGTTTTATACCCAGAATCCCTCTAAACCTCTAATACCAAATAACTTTCCTTACAGTTTTAAGATAGGGATAATAACATCGATGATGACATCGATGTTGGCATCGATAGCTCAACATCGATGTTCGATGTTTAGGCTACTCAAAACATCGATGATGATCATTATCGATGGTTTTTGTATATGTGTAGATACTTACAAATTGTTTTAAAATTATGTAGGTATACACATCAAGGGAAAAGTAACTATTAACTTGAATATCAATTTACGTAGAATAGTTATTATGCGACAACCGACAACGACACTACAAAATAAAGCGAAAGCAGTGACCATTGTGACATCACAGGTGACACTTGACAATTAAGTTTGACTCACCATACTGACATTTTTTTAGGTTAACGATGCGTTCAGGAATTCTGAATTATTCAAAATTTTTAATCTTCAGAGCAGATGCAAGATTTAGTTGATATTGATTTCGCGAGTTCGCATTGTTTGCAAGTTCCCAATTATCGATTATGGGTTCATTGACGTCGATGTTTCGATGTTTGACATGTGTCAACATCGATGTTAAAACATCGAAGTTTTAATTTTTAACATCGATGATCATCTAACATCCCTATTTTAAGTGTGTTTCCCACTCAGCGTGTGTTATGCGACGATCGTAAATAAAGCGCAAGGTCAAACTTTACGCGTTGTAGGAGTGGAACCCAGTACTGATTGTTTTGCACATGGCCAACTCTATGCCAACCTTTTTCTGTACGCCCCGGCTAAGTCTACTTCTATCGTCGTTTACACGGAAGCTCTATCATAAACGACTTAGAACTTTGAGCGTATCGATTTATTTTGTTACCACTTATTCATACAGTAATGTTATAAATCGTTTAATATTCTCTTACCCTAAACGTCAAATTCTTTAAGTAAAACCTATATTCGCGTGCTACGCCGCGGGCACAGCTAGTTTTATAATATTTCCAAATATGTTGCGCTATAATGTAACGTATTATAGCAATGTAAACCGCACACGGTGAAGATACTTAAATACAAGTTTATTTTTCAAAGAGTAGCCAAATTTTAAACGTAAGTTAAAATATACACTGTTTTTGCAGTTTTTGAAAATACGTGTAAATAAGGCTTCTACTTTTATTTGAAATTATCTCAAATTGAAGGTAATTTATCGGCAACAACGTTTTTGCATACCTATCGACCCTTACGAATGTTTTGCGTGCGCAGTAAAATCAGTTAAAATAATGCAACATGTTTGAGATTGTTTTTTAATTAATTTTTCGTCACATTTGCCTGTAGTACTTATTCTGAACCTTCTCTGCAATTTTGTACGGTTAATACAAAGTAACCCTGTATACATTAATGCCCTCATCGTTCGTCGGCGATCGTCTTGGCAAGCGCACGTTTTATCCATTGCAAATTTTTACAAAGAATCCGACGAGCATGTTATTGTTCTATTTAATTACACATACAATTCACCATATTTTGCAGTATTATGTTGCTATTTTAAGTCTATGAAAATAAATTTACGTTAATGAAAAGATATAAGAAGAAAAAAGAAAGATGAGACAGTATTTCTCTCTTTATCTATGATTTTTAACCGATGTTTTTTTGTATGTATGTTAAGCGGTAGTTACGCAGATTTCGAACCAATTTTGATGATACTTTTTTGTGAAATAGGTTATACTTCAAGGAAGGTTCCATATTTTTGAGAATAAAATTCACCCCTAATGGTAGCAAATAAATAACTTCTTTTTTAGCAATTTCAAATCGGCTTTCATTTTTTGTTAAAAATTATAATTATTGTAGTTAAGAATGAGCTACTACTGGCCTTTAGACCATAAAAATATGTTTAAGTTGCCTTAATATGGTTATTTTTGTTCAGCAATATGATATAGGCTCTGTTATCTTATTTCTTAGCTCGTAACAGTGCTAAGAACATCTTCTACCCCATATCATCCCCATCATCACCCACTGACGATACAAGTCGCGGCATGTAAGTCTATCGCTGAACGAAACGTGGAGGGGACGCGCACGAATTAAATTCCACGAATGCGACTGGAGAGCCAATCAGCGCGTGCGAACGATACGCGCAAGCCAATCAGCGCGTGCGAACAATACGCACGAGCCAATCACGCCCGCCCCGCAACCCGGTTAATACCCCATGATACCTTATTTTCGACTTATGCACAAGAACGGTCACGAATTCTTTCGAGAAACCGACTTCCTCCGTTGTTCCTCTTAATTTGTCCATAGACTAAGTTTCTTATTTTCAAAATGTAAATAAAATATAGATTAATGTATTTCAATGATAAAACTTGTGATTTGCAGCTAAAAGTATTAACAGAAATATTTTCTGTACATTTTAATTGTAATATACATTTCATTACTAAGTCTTAGCAATAAACTTATTCTATTATAATTTGGTTTTATTTAACCCATTGTATTAATTTACTATATATATATATATATATATATATATATATATATATATATATATATATATATATATTAAACTCTTTGGTCTAGTAGACCCAACTGATGATCTTGAGGTCCAGGGTTCGAATCCTTGGTTGGTTCAAAATTAGTTATTGGGTTTTCTAACAACAAATGCTCAGTAGCAGCCCAGAATCAGGAAGTTGGCGGTGTTACAACTCCGTACTTCGGAAAGCATGTAAAGCCGTTGATCCTGCGCCTGATCTCTGTCCGGTCGTGTCGGGTTACCGTGCCATCGCAATATGAGTGTGAGGAAATAAAGAGGGCATCTGTGCTTACGCATACACACGGGCACTATAACCCTGTTCTGCGCGAATGGCTAGTCCCTGCTGAGACTGGCCGCTGTGACCAAAATTCGGTCTGGAGGACGTAATTAATTGCATTTTATATAATTAATGAAATAATTGTTATGAGAACCCCTTATAAAAAAGTTGAGTTCTAGAGAAAAAACTATTTTTGGGTCTATTTTTATTTCAAAAATATGAAGCTAGTCCGAATTTCTTGAGATTTTGTTCTTTTTTACCCTGTAAAAGTCGACCGCTGGTGGTCTCTCCCGTTATAAGGAGTATTTGCATTCACCACCATACGTGGCTGGCGGATTGATAATAGTACTAATCGTTTTGCACCTTTGTGGCTTCCTCGTCGAAGTTTAACAACGCCATCTATCGGAAACTATATATTTTTCTGGAAAAACTTCCTTAATCACCACTTACGACACCACCACAGTCTTTATTATTTATTTCTATTTTTATTATTTAACTTACGATCCGCCCCGGCTGCGCAGGGATGATTTCTGGATCTCGACAACAGCGCCACCTACCGGGTCCAAATGTGAATCTAAACCATCTAGGCACACTCATACAAAGTTCGAACACAAAAAAATTCATCAAAATCTGTCGAGTCGTCTTTGAGTTTTAGCGAGACTAAATATATAATAAACATAAACATGCATGTCTGAAAAATAAGAAAAAATATATTTCGAAGACATGAGAAGTTCGCCAACTCGCATTGGGACAGCGCGGCGGTCACTTCCTTGCCCTAAAACCTTCTCCGATATAAGAGGAGGCCAGTGCCCAGTTGTGGGACGTATATAGGCTGTAACTTATATATATAGAGATACTTGCAGTACATGGTTATACACGGGTGTGTGTGTGCAAGCACAAGTGCACTCTATTCTCACACCCTCGTAGTCCGATATTCCACGAGCACACCCACTGAGTACATTATAACACTGATGGGACGGCAAACCGACACGACCGGAGCTATCAGTCGCAGGATCAACAACGGCTACGTGCTTACCGAGACACGGGGGTAGGGTTGCCATCTGTTAAAATGAAAAAGCTAGACTCGGTTCTCCAAAAAGCCGTACTTTTGGCCCTAAAAGCCGGACAGTAATTTTTAGCCAAACATACCTTTCTGAGGCCATGCAGCCAAAAAACTCACCAACTCCCACCCCCCGAGAAAATACACAAAAATACTCCATTACATATGTTAATTGTTTATTAATCAATCACAGTACAGATTCAAGAGTATACGTTACTTATTTATTTATTCTGCAAGCGATGCGTGCAACGCGTTACACTTACAAAAAGCTGGACAGGCCGGACACATAAAAATTTGGCCGGACATAACCCGAAAAAGCCAAACATGTCCGACAGATGGCAAGTGTTTCTATATAGTTTGTGATGGCAACCCAACACGGGGGTGAACGTACGCCAATTTCATGCTTGAACCGCTACTAAGAATTTCTTGACAAAACATCCCAACATAGGCAGTAAGAAATAAAAATATTGCTTAATTAAGGAGACAAATGGGTTTTATGGAGCATATTTTTATTCCTAACCCAGTTAAAATTCTATTCATTCATATTAAATCATTTTACAATCTGTTCTATAATATTGGGTATATTATTAGACATTTTATAATTTCACTAGCTGGTCCGGCAAGCGTTGTTTTGCCCTTTACGGTAGGTGAGGTGATGAGTTTCAGTGTAGAGCAATTATAGAATGTATGAATAACTTGATATTAATGCCACTTCATATCTAGTCCATTTTGTGATTCTTTCTCGACACTAATTCAACATATATCGCTTGAATGTGACATTTTAGTGTATATTCATAAGTTTAAACCTATCTACAAATTGTGTAAATATGACTTCAACCATTCAGAAGTTACATTATCACTAACACATGGTCTAAGCACATAATTAAAAGTCATCATAATCAGTTTATATTTTAATTTAAAAAAAAAACATTCTTATTGCATTTTACAATCACATCATAATCATATTATAACAATTTAACTAAAGAATAAGTGTTGTAATGTTATTGTAATTAATTTCCTTTACGTGGTACTTAATCCTCAGTAAAATAAGTAAATAAATAATTGAAAATACTGATTGTAAACTGCTTCAATAGTAGATTTAATTTGTTTAATTAAAAGTTAAATAAAAATATTTTCTTTCTTTTTCAAACATTCAAATTCATATTTTTCAACACAACATACAACTACTAACTTAACTTAAAAAATAATAATATTATTAGAAACAGTTTGTTGGATAATTTCACTTATCCATTCAAATTTTATAATTAATTTGAATAAAACTTTGCAACTCAACACTTAATCTTCGTAACTGCAAAAATTTCAATATATTCCATAGGTCTTATTTATAAAAGTTATCAACGCACATAAGCAATCCACCGCTAAATCCTAAGAGAGCTCCCAAGCCTCTGGAGTATATGATATAATCCCCACACTTGACAAGTGGTTTGTAGATCATAGCTTCCAAAGCCTCACAAAATCATTTTCTTTGTTATCAGCTTGTGAAAGTCAACAGCTGGACATTAGGTCTCTTCCTTTTGTGGTACGGATTTGCCTTAATCCTCAAGTTTGACAGGCGGATCAATATCAGACATTCTGCATGTTTGATACTGTCCATTGCATTAGTTTAACATTGAGTGTAAACAAGATGTTGTTTCCCATTGTTGCTTCTTGCCACACACACAAGGTGATGAATTCTTCAATTCCACCACCACACAGTTAGCCGTTGACAATACTGCTAGACATATCTAGTGCATACACCATGTTAAACCATCTACTGCATTTCCCATTCTTATATAACAGCATATTGCACCATATCAAATCATTCTGGGATTTTCCACAATAGGTAACCATACCACCTACTTACAGGATGATAATGATGAGATGAATTTCTTACACTATCACTACACAGTGCAATGGCAACCATAAAACCTTTTATGACATTTTGAGTTAACCTTATTAGGTCAAAAATAAAATACTACTCAAGTACTTTCTGAAGCTTACATATTAATGAACTATAGTTCTTCAAATTACTGAATACTTTATGATCTTCTTTGGAGGTTTTATTAATAAGACCTTTAGATTTACTAATTGTACTGATGTACACACAAATTAGCATGTAAAATTATAATTAAGAAATACAAAAAATAATTCATTTCTTAAAAATTACTCAGGTTCACACAGCTCATATTTCTCTATACATTCAATTAACCAACCGACTGGCAATGCTTTGAAATGTTTCATATTGTACATTGGTTCATACATGTCTTTGAAAATAATGTAATGAGAGCACATATCTAATTTCCCACCCTTCTTTGCATGATATGGCACCAGTTGCTCTGCCTCTGGAATTAGTTCTGGGTTTGGAACCCTTCTGAGAACAATACCGTCAGCATCGGTTATTAATTTAGAAAGTATTGTTTTATTCAAGATAATGGTTTTAGAAATTTCATAATTAGTATTGAAATTGTGTAAATAAAAATGACAACCATTGAAAAGGCCAGGAAGCTTTTTATATTTATTATATCTAGCATTTTTGGGGCCATTAAATTTTGTAGTACCAACTCCCTTCACTTCATAATTGTTGAATGGTTCTAATTTATCTTCTGTAGACTTAGTTATCCACTGAGATGATAAAATCCAAATCCCATAAACTATGCCTTGTAAAACATCTAAATTAGGTGTACACACTCCATCATCTTCGGTGTCAAGTAATAAATGTGTGACCTTTTTGGTGAATTTTGTCTCTATATGCATATTGTTGTGATGTTTACATAATGTTTTTAATTTATTGTGAACTGTACGAAATTGTGAGATACAGTATATCCTTATGTCATCAAAATCAAGTTCCGTTTGAAGTTCAGATATGTGAGTCACATTAGCACCTTGCGTTTGGAGTATATTTTCAGCAGCTTCCTCCAATACCTTTTTAATTTCATTAGAGGCTAACTGTACAGGTGTCTCACCTTTGCAATTTCTTGCATATAAATGAGCACCATGTCTAACTAACTCTTCAACAATATCTTTATGGTTGTATCTCACTGCTTCGTGTAATGGGGTTTCATTACCTTGACCAGGCACATTGACGAGAGTGTTGTGTTGAAGCAATAACTTGACCAAGTCAAGTCTACCATTCTGGACCACTTCATGGAGGGGTGTCCAACCAGCATTATCATTAGTGTTAGGATTAGCACCCTCGTTGAGCAACTCTACCACCTTATCAACTTTCCCAAGACGACAAGCAACATGTAAAGCAGTCTCACCTTTATTATTACGTTTTTCAAAAGCCTTATTCAATTTTGAAGAGCTTGCAACGGATAGCAGTGAAGTGTTTGGATTTGCACCCTCATTGAGTAATTCCGCTGACCTATCGACCTTCTGAAGAGGGCAAGCAACATGTAAAGCAGAATCACCTTTATTATTACGTTTTTCAAGGGTCTTATTCGATTTTGAGGAGCTTGCAACAGTAAGATTTTCATTTTTGGAATTTTTTTTATTAGATTTTGTAGAAACTTTACTACTTTCTTTATCTCCTGCTTTGGATTTTGTTATTTTATCAATTCTTGTTGTATTTCCTACAGTGGTTGCGCTGTCGTCTACTTTAGACGATTGTAACGTACTTATGTTCAATTTTAAGGGAGTAAATATTTTATCTAGCTCTTTAGCAGAATAAATACAAGCTTCCAAGCGATCATCCTTAAAGGCATCATTTTCTGTTATGCGTGTATGACAGGTGGGACATTTGTCTAATTTCTTTAAGTGTTCTTCACAAATTAAATGAAAACAAGATTTTAAGGTGACCGGTTTTTTACACATTTCTAAACAAACGCCACATGTATAATCCTGTTTTAGTGCCTCTAAAGCTTCTAAAAAAGTATGCACCTGTGCCGAAGTCATCGTCGATTTAACGTATATAATAAGTGCGCATATACTAAGATTAATATGTAATCAAAATAATAATTAGTTTATCTACTGAATAATTAAAAATTCAAATAATTCACGACCTTCAAGCGGGAAGCGGGAACTTGAGATTGACATTGGTTAGTTTGTTTTTGTCAGTCAGTTTGTCAATTGTCATAGATATTGTTGCTGATGCTGTTGCTTCTTCTTCTTAATATCTGGCTTTACGGCTCTGGGATCTAGCCCTTCTGAGCCTGAAGTTAAAATATATTAAAATAATTATCCTTCATAGTATACTGCTTCACAATATGTTGATGCGTCACATTATGCAGCCCTTGGGAGATTTTGACGGCAACTTGAGCCAGCAGATAGCTGACGGTTGGCGATGGTATCTCAAGGCGCCTAAGTAGACAGACACCTTATTTTGAGAATCATATCTCCATCAGAGCACTTGTTACACAGTTTCCGCTAATAGTTCACATGCGTAGACACTGAATACACAAAATCGCACCACTTTTAAAGACGTCAAGGTCGCCCCCGTACTTTACGCACGGAGCAAGCGATTCAGGAGGTTAATCTATCTGTCCAAGAAAATGCGGGACTCTCTACGCGACGACGTTCAGAGACTTTGAGGATTTCGCGAAGCAGCTTAAGACGAATTTTGAGGCAAGATTTGAAGCTTCACCCTTATAAGATCCAGTTGGTACAAGAACTTTCCCATGATGACCATACAAAAAGGGCTTCATTTTCCACCTTGATGTTAGAGCGGTTTTCCAACTTCGTGAACATCCTTTTCTCGGATGAAGCCCACTTTCATCTGAACGGATTTGTCAACAAGCAGAATTGCCGTTTCTGGAGTGCTGAACAGCCTTTGCGCTAGCATCAAAAGCCACTCCACTGCCAAAAAGTGACGGTTTGGGCTGCAATTTCAGCCAAAGGGCTAATTGGGCCTTATTTCTTTGGAAATTCTCGAGGTCACGATGTAACCGTTAATACCGACCGTTATGTGGAAATGCTGCAAAAGTTTTTAAGGCCAAGCCTTGCTGGGCTGCAAGAGTACAACTCCCTGATCTGGTTCCAGCAGGATGGGGCCACCTGCCACACGTCTAATGCCAGCATGGAGGTCGTACAGGAGCTGTTCCCTGGTAAAGTCATCTCAAAGAGAGGTAACATCGAGTGGTCACCACGAACCCCAGACTTGTCCCCACCGGATTTCTTTTTGTGGGGATTTCTCAAGAATTATGTCTATTCCAATAAACCGAGGACAATTACTGCCTTAAAAGCGAACATTCGAGCAGAAATGGCGGCCATATCGACAGCAACGTGCCGGCGTGTTTTTGAAAATTTAAAGTCCCGCTTAGAAGAGTGTTTGCGGCGAGACGGGGAACACCTAGACGATGTTATTTTCAAGAAGTAAATTAAATTAATGTTAAATGAAGTTACTTTTAGAATAAACTCTCTAAGTATTTTCAGTCTTTTTTTATATGGGTTTCAAAAGTGAACTTTATTCTGGCCCATCCTGTATTAGAAATTAAGATTCTTTAACCCACAAAGTTCAATGTCTACAATAAAACTTTTGAATAGCTTTGGGTGGTAGCAATAAAAAGGCCCAACTCGGAACCCAACATCAGAGTCCAACCTAGGGTGGACTACGCAAGCTGTTTAGAGGTGCAATAACAGATGTAAATTAAAAGTAAGATTATACTTATATATAAGCGATTAAAAAAGTAGCTTCGGCAGTTATTTATGAAGGTATCTACGTAATTGCTTTTGTATGTCAGTGATTCCTTCAAAATAAATGGATGTCATTCAAAAATATATTGACATAGGATATATTTTGTACCTAAGACTGCAATCAAGGTAACAATATGATAATTGTATAATAAGTTAATAGTTAACCCTTTTTAAGGTCAGTAAGTTAATTATATTTAGGTATTTGATTTAATAACCAACGTTTTATAAATTCTTACCAGTGTTTTATTGATTTGCTAAAACCTACCTTCTACTTACTTAATTAAGTACCTATATTTACCAAATACTTACATAGTTCAACTAATAACTTAAGCACAATAACACTTACGCGTCCATCATGGCGCATCATCTATGTATCAGTATTACTATTATTTATTCTGTGTCAGTATCTATAGAACGTCTGCTAACGGCTAACGCTTAGCATAACGGGCAATAAGCGATACGCGCGCTCTACAGTTTGTTTATATATACTCTAAGAGTAAGGTTAAGTGTCGCAATCCAAACTACCAATTAAATTTTAAATTAACTAAATCATATCAGGACGTTGCAATCGTTTTATAGAAATATTTTACAGAAATTCCGACCTTAACTAATAAGTTGCTGAATTCTTCTCCTGCCATCACCGAATCATTAGTCTCTGAGAATGTAAATAAGTGTACAAACAATTTTACATTTCATAAAGTATCATCAAAAATATTCTAAAACTATTGAATAAATGTACATGAAAAAAGTCGCAGATCTGTAGGGGATTTCCATTAAAGTTATTGCGTCTATAATATCTATAATAGATATAATAGATATAATAGACGTATTTCTGTAATGCCAATACTTAGATACTTAATAAAAAAAATATTCTTGTTGAAATGTTACATTTTTTAATGTAAAATAATACAAAATTTTAACAACCATTTATTGTAAATGGCGCACCTCAGATTTCGTACAGACCTCCATGACGCGAAAATGCCAAAATGAACGACAAAAATGTTAATTAAATTATTAACAAAAATTATTAGTTAATTAAATTTATAACAAAAATAAAATTAACCACCCTTAAATAAAAAATGATTTATTTAAACTTTATTTGCACAGGTATTTTGTTGGTGTGCTGCCAAAATAAAAAAAATTTAACACAACATGACTAACAAATACATGATAACTATATAAGCTTTACTTTTTTTCTTTATGAATGGACTCATACTGTTGTACTTTTGTCAGTGTCAAGTATTTAAGAAGTCATCCGTTATAATAATTATTTGTATAAAAATTTCCTCACAGTATGTTGATGCGTCACATTGTGAAGTTTTTAAGAGATTTTTGACGGCAGCTTGATCCAACAGACAGTCGGTGATGATAGTGTCTCAAGGCGCCTAGGCCGACACATTATCTGAGGTTCACATCATCAACGGAACAGTTGTTTCATTGTTTCCACTAATAGTTCACATACGCAAACATTTAATACACGACATCGCACAACTTTTACGAACAAACTTTTCAAAATCTATTTCAAACGATTATTTTAACAATTATGCAGGAACAGAAATCCGCCACCGACCAAATTTCCACCAATACTCCAGGAGAAGCTTTATAAAACTTGTGAATATTAAATTAGTAGAGAGTCTATGAATAAATAAATTATGTTACTTCGTTTCATTCTGAACATAGGCCTCGCCATACATTGCCTTATAGAGTCGATCTTAGGTTTTTTTTTTAGTTATTTGTTATCAGGAAGTCGCTGCCCATCTCCTGTTTTATTTCCCTCTGTCGTCTCTTAAGACACCCATGATTATGATAACGGGCTAGAAGATTCTTATTTTTCGAGTAAGAGGTGACAGAGGTCAATGAAACCGGGGATGGGCAGCAGCGACTTCTTGATAACATTATAATAATAATACACATTATTATAACAATCAAAATTATCTGAGGTTTTGGTGGGAACTTGGTCCATGATGGATTTCTGCTGTTGTATAATTGTTAAAATAATGACTTGAAGTAGTTTTTCGAAACGATTATTCAACTGCTCCGATGGTGATGTGAATGTAGAAATTCGATACGACTGAAGAGGCACGGCAATAAAACACCGCCAACTTCCTGACTCCGTGCTGCTACCGAAAATTTCTGGGAAGAAAACCCAGATATTGGGCCTGACCCGAGATTCTAACCTAGTAATACACGATTAACGGTCGCGCACAAGGTGATGCTCTAATCAATCAAATAAGTATATTTATGAACCATGACATTTTGAATATTGACTCGATATGTAGTGTTACGGGTAAGTTATTAATAAATATTATATTTATACTGTAAATAGTCCGGAGAGAATACGGAGGGAGTCTCACCGCGCCATCTACAGGGAAGGGCAGAGCAACCGTTCTGCCCTTCCCGTTTACCGGGTCAGCAAGTTCTTCTACTTAGAATTTTATAGCGGTGTTAGCTCAGAGGATAAGCGCTCGCCAATTTTTTTTACATGAAATTGATTTTAATCCCCGCCAGTACCACTGAAATTGTTAATACAATTTTGAGTGCTGATTTACCATGATGTATTCGCCAGTAAAGGAAAAATACTGAGAAAACTTGCATGTCGGGTATATCAAAAAAATTCAAGGTTGTACCCACTTCCTTATATATTACTATACTCTTTGGTTATACCTAATATGAAGTATGCCAACACCTTTTTTTCAACTGGCTTTACGGTTCTGGGCTCTAGCCCTTCTGAGCATATTCTGCTAACACCTTTCAGCAATAAGCACAAAATACTATTTATGAGAGAAGGCGTGTGTCCAGCGGTAGACGCTCCACTCAAATATAGTCTATTAGTGTAAATACTTGAGATTATTAAAAGATGAGGTAAATGAAATGGGCTGTATTATAACTGGTTCAATATTAATTAACGATTGTAAAAAAATCGCAACCGTGTCAAACGAGTAGCTCGAATGAGGAGATCGGAATTTGGAAGTAGTGAATGATCTATAATAGACCATAAAGTACAATAAAGACTAGTCGCGACGCGCGCTGGTGTTGAGTGCCCCTCTCGCTCGTGTTTGCCCTGCGAGCTGTACGCGCCGCTATAAGGTTAGCATGGGCAGGAGACAATTTTATTCCCGGGGAAAGGAGAAAATGATTATCCCCTCGCTTAGTTTTATCCACCCTTCGAGCATATCCACACCGGTGGATACCATATCCGCAGTAGATAAAATGGGAGATAGACTTAGACTTAGATAGACTTTTTGTATGAATATAAATTTAAGCCCACGTCCAATGAACTAGGATAAAATTGTCCCTTTCAAATGTCAAAAAAGCATAATTTTTTATCTTTTATTTGGCTCCATGCTACGGTCGGGGTATAATATATGTCAACTCGTTATATCAAACGGAGATATATTTCTCCCCGTTGCCGCGCTTTGGCATAAGGACAAGATAATTTTATCTCTTGGCTTCCAAAACTTTCTCTGCCACTTGCCACCTGGGCGGGGCCATGTTGGATTGAACTAAAATATATTTGACTCATCTCATGGCGGGGAAGTTAAGTTGTTAGAAAAGTGTAAAGATCATTGTTTCTTTCTGATTTTTTTTTGTTATAGTTTGTATTAATTAGGTTAGATGCACAGTACGCGAGTAACCAGGGTTCGATCACCACCGGTATCAATGAAATCGTTAATTGCAATTTTATGTGCTGATTTACCACGTGCTCTGCGGTGAAGGGAAACATCCCGAGGAAACCTGCATGTCTGAGAAATAAGAAAAAAATATTTCGAAGACATGTGAAGTTCGCCAACAAGCATTGGGGCAGAGTGCGGACAATTCCTTGCCCTAAAACTCTCTCAGAAATGAGCGGAGGTCTCTGCCCAGCAGTGCGACGTATATAGGCTGTAACTTTGGATTAGAAAAGGATAAACTATATTATTGGATTAGAATTTGAATGAACGTGGTCTACCACAGACTGTAGAGAGAGTAGAGTCATACCGCACTTGCTTATCAGTAGTCGGACCGACCGGGGTAAGACCACGCTCTCATAAAATACCAGCGTAAAATAGCAGCTTGACACTGCTGTGTTTTGTATGGAGAGTGTAGAGAACCGAAGTGCCTTTTTACTGGAGACGAGGTATTCCATTGTAGTCCTCATTCTCTCATTTTATTCTAAACACTCTCTCATCTGCATTTTAAATTGTAATGGTGGATAAATGTAGATGTCTATTGCACACAGTATCCACTTACCATCAGGTGGTGATATGTTGGGTCTGGGTTAGAGATAATAGTTGGATGCTACTGGCTGATTTTTTATTGATGTTTACTGTTTGGTGGCTGCGTAAGAATATCTACTACCCCGTGGGTGTGGTATGAGGCGACAGAAGGAAACAAATTAGGAAATCGGCAGCAGCGTCTAAAACCACTAAAAATTAAAAAAAACTGCGGTTGCCGTCCCGCTTGCGAAGCGTGGCAACTATGCCCTCAAATATCCTCCTATGAGACAATCATGGTGGCGGCCTGTGTTTAGCAGTAGACTTTTATAGGCGTGATGCTAACAGTAATGACTGATTTTTAAAACCAAGTAATATCGTACTCGACACGTCGTACAGAATAATTCAAGGTATGGTTGACAAAAAAGAATAAAGAAAAAAAAGAATATTATTTGTTTTTGTTATTAATTAATTTCTCTAAGGAATTAAACGTAAATAACACTTCTTTTGTTAATGGTACTATTGAAAAATATTTTATCTAGTTAACAAACAAACGACTAGAGATACAAAACATAGTATAAAGGTCGGTACAGTTTTAAAACCAGAATCAGGACTGAGATCCGCGATTTGACAGGTGTTATTTTTAACTCCTGTCAAGGTGCGTTCGAAGTTAAGAGGAATTTTATCATAAGGATGCATTTTGAGCATGGTGTCAGAAGCTAAACTTTTTGTATTGTTGTGAAATAAAACGTCCATTTGATGATTAAATAGTCCGTACATGGAGAACATCGCGCTGTGGAACGGCTGGTGTTTGCCAAACAGTTGGTCAAGTTTTGTGAATACATTTATAATCTCTTGCCGTCTCATATTTGAGTTTTTGTTAGAGGCGAAAACATGGCCAATGTTGGACCAACTGATGAAACAGTATTTTATATTCTCTTCCGGACATATGGGTTTTATTTCTATTATTTCTTGCGCCCAGGGTAGGTGGATGATGTTAGCTGTAATAGAAAAAATATTTTTTTAAAAACAAAATCATTAATGTAATGAACTTTTTGATTTTTATAAATACAAATTAAAGATAGGAACATTAGGCTACTATAATTTGTACACTTCTTTATCGGCCCGTGAACAACCACAGCTGGATACAGGCCTGTCGCGTTAAAGTGAGAATTTGCCCTAATCATCACGCTGTGAGGGCAGTTTGACGGTCGTAGTAGCAGAGACGTTTGGCACCTCTGTTATTGCTGCCAGTGGCCAGTTTAGATATTTTATGTCCAGCTTACACGATGTGATTTGAAGACCATTTATACGTGCTAGAGCCATGCTGCAGCTATATTAGTTGTATAGTTGTAACACGAATGGATCGGCTCGACAGGGGAAGGACCACACTCTCACAGAAAATAGCAGCTTAATGCTGCTGTCTTTCGTATGATAAGTGTAGAGAACCGGAGACCCCTTTTACTGGAAACGAGACATTCCATCTTAATCCTCACGGGTGACAACGCATCTGCATTTTGATTCTTTGATTGGTTGTTTATTTATTCTGTGGTTGTTATTATGTTGTTATTATTTTCTTATCTTCAGCAAAGGATTGATCAGACTACGTCAGTATATTCCTACAAATTCTTTCATGATTTTACCATTATTTTCATCTTTGAAAAGTGATGTCTTATGAATCAGATAGACAAGGCCTCTTTGGGGTTGTTTAGGTTTGTAATTAGTGGTAAAATTAAAAAAAAATTGTACAACAGAATTCAATATAGATTATTAAGGATAACACAAAAACTATTAGTTAGGCCTTGACCACACGAGAAGCACCAGCTTTCAAATAAAAAAATAATCATCGAAATCGGTTCACCAAAAAAAGTTATGAGGTAACACACATAAAAAACACACAGTCGAATTGAATACCTCCTCCTTTTTGAAGTCGGTAGAAAATGGCAGCGTGCTGCAGATGGAAACTAATACCAGACATATCCGTATCACCAGTATCACTATATAAGATCTAAATATAATTGAATAAAATAAGAAATAATTCTACAATACCCACCTTTATATTTATTGTACGTATTCATACTAAAGAAAGCGACGTCACTTTTCCCTTCAACCAAAGATCGTAACGCCTTTAATTCTCCATTCAAGTTTTCTTCGTCCTTTACACAGTTCTTCGTTAATTTGTCCACAATTTCCGTGGTCAAATTATATTGTTCGATACCTGGCGCACAAATCTCACTAAAATAATTAATAAAATGTTCACAAGGAACGTTTAGTTTGTTGGCAAAGTACTGTGAAACGGAATGCCATGCGACGCCATCGAAACGCGGGAATGCGGCCCGTTTGCCGCGCAATTCTGAAATTTTCTTTATCATGGCGTCTTTCCTCACATAAGCTACGACTGTCCTAGTTTTCTCCACGATCGGTGTGGCCTCGTGCAGGATCGGAACGAGGGAGTAGTCTCTGGAATTATTATTTTCTATTATTATAATCAAATATTCTTTGTGCAGAAATGAAATATATACGAGTAATTTTATTTTTCATTTCTATATATTATTTTTGTGTAGGATCGAATCGATTGACTATTTTTTGTTCTATCATTATTGTAAACACTTTTTATTCTGAACTTGTACTCAAGTGAACAAAATTACATAATATCTTGTCACCATATATTAAGTTCTGTATCAACTATCAACCCTACGTGATTTGAAAAAAATAGTAGCTTTTTAAAACCTATTTTTTTATTACAGTCACCATAAACTAGAATTACAGAGGATGGATTAATTGCCTCATTCCATTCTTTATTAGACTACCCCGGTGTGGTAAAAGTCTTGGCAAAAAGGGTTAGTATATACATATATGTATTTTACGTGACAGACAAACTAATATGTAGTTGCTTATACCCATATATAATTACAATAACTATCGTTATTTTTCCTCTTAAGAATAATCCCAACAAAAACGCCATCAAATGCTTTTCTTTTAATTTTCATACATTTTGTCAATATTTATAACTTACCTCATTCCCACTACAAGCCAGTCACTGTCGACGACCACAACATCGCTGTCTCCCTTTCTCACGCTGGCCATGCAATCGCGCGTGCTCTCTCTAATAGTGCATTGTAGAGGTGGAGTAATACCATATACTGCTCCGGCCTCGCTCAGCCATTCACATTTGTTTTTCTCTATCGGAGATGTTGTGCAGAGAGTTATATGCCTGTTAATAATAATAAAAATATATATAATCTAACTATCATTCTCTTCCTCATTTCTGCCGTGCGTGTTGCGAAATATATGTAGGTACTTAAGCAAAAACATTTTAATGAATAGGTACTTAAAGTTTAAAATACCTTGGCGGATCGCAACCGCTCTGGCTATAGGCCTCTCTAAAGCCCTTTGCTGCCGCTAGGTGATCCAATGGCACCCGTGAGGGTCTCAGCGCTTTCGGCGCTGCACGGAGTTCTAATAACGCTGCTAAGGCTCCGCGCCAATGTGGGTCCTCAGCTGCTGCATTACTTGATATAGAGCTTGCTAGAGCGCTTACTGCTGCAGCTGCCTTTCTGTAGAAGCAATTTAATGCCTACACTGATAAATTATAGTAATCGATTAAGTCTATAATCTTCATCCTCATCTTCATTCCTCATCAAGCATAAAAAAATGAAGGTATGAGTTAATGTCATAGTAGGGTGAAATCACCGAAAATCCTACGTATCATGTATTATATCTACTAGCTGATACCCGCTCGCTTCGCTATGCGCACGATAATATTATATTGTGGACCTTGTCAAATATTTTTTTGATTGGACTATCGTAAAATCCGTTCTTAGTGAGCTTCTATATTGCAAAATGAGTAACTATACTTAACTTTTTTTATAGGAGAGGGGGCAAACGAGCATGCGGCTCACCTGATGGTAAGTAACTACCGCCACCCATAAACAACCGCAACACCAGGGGAATAGCAAAAGCGTTGCCGGCCTTTTAGAAAGGTGTATGCTCTTTTCTTGAAGGTCCCTAAGTCGTGTCGGTCCGGAAAAATCGTTGGTGGTAATCGGTTCCACAAGAAAGTAGTGTGAGGAAGAAAACATCTTCTAAATCGCACAGTGGTGGACCGCCAATCATCCAGACGGTATGGATGGTATCGTGAGTTTTGTCGCGATGTGCTATGGTGAAACTGAACGGCTGGAATTAGTCCGAACAATTCCTCAAAGCACTCCTCATGGTATATGCGATAAAATACGTAAAGAGATGCAACATCACTACGCTGTGCCAGTTAGTCAAGCCGATCGGAAAGAACTCGGTCGTCGACGAGTAGAACCGCTCTGCGCTGGATGCGGTCAAGTGGAAGGAGCTGGCACTGGAGAGCCCCTGCCCAGAGATGGGAACAGTATTCTATGTAAGGCCGAACCGGTGTCTTGTAAAGTTGCAGGCGGTGTGCCGGCATGAAATACTGTCCCGCTCTGCTGAGCATGCCAAGCTTTTTAGAGGCCGATTTGGCCTTCTCTTCCAAGTGACCACGAAACACACGCCGAGGATTCCGATACTGGCTGAGGCAACAAGGGGAGTGCCTTGAAACTAAGGAGATATAACAAAGAGGTTCCTTTTAGTGGTAAACACGCAAACTTGTGTCTTCTGGGGATTGAAATGAAATAGATTTAGTCGCCCCCAATCCGAGAATATGTTCAACAAAGTCTCGACTTTTTTTATTATACTAAGCCAGGGCTTATCTACGATCTCACCTGATGGTAAGTGGAAATGTAGCCTAAGATGGTGAAGCTTTGTTTGTTGTTGTTTGTTTGTTCCGGTACTCGGCGAAGTTTTCCCGAGAAATACTGGCACGGCCCGTGTATAGAGCATCACCAGTGCTATCATCTGCATACTAGTAGCAATGTATGTTACCGGTTTGCAACATATCATTGATATGCAGAAGAAACAGCGTTGGTGATAGCACGCAGCCCTGTGGAACACTAGCGTTAATAGGCTTCTGATGGACTCACCGTCCATTACGACCCTGATGTTTCGATCAGCCAGAAAACTGGTGATCCAATTGCACAATTTCTCTGGAAGCCCATAGGCAGGAAGCTGCGAAAGAAGCGTTTTGTGCCAGATCCGATCGAAGGCTTTCGCTATGTCCAAACTAACAGGCAATGCCTCCCCCTTGGACTCGATCGCCTGCGCCCATCTATGTGTTAGTTAAAGAAGAATATCACCCGCTGAGCGACCCCGACGGAAACCGTACTGGCAGTCACTAAGTGCTCCTCAAGGTATCGCATGAGCTGGCAGTTAGTAATGGATTTCATTATTTTCTTGAATAAGGAGGTGATGGCGATAAGCCTGTAATTGGACGGATCAGAGTGGTTAACTTTTTTAGGGATCGGGTGCATGAAAGCTGTCTTCCATGAATTCGGGACAACGCCTAGGGAGTAGGAGTACCGAAAAAGACGAGTTAGAACCGGTGCCAACTCTGGAGCGCACGTCCTCAGCACAATTTGCGGGATTCCGTCAGGCCCACTCGATTTGTGGATGTCCACGGAGAGGAGTGCTTTGCGTACTGAGCACTGTGTGAATCGCACATCAAGCATAGAGCACACATGGTCGGCGGTGTGTTCCTCCCGTTATGAAGAGTCGAGTTGGGCGCAAAAACGGAGCCTAAAAGGTCGATTTTCTCTTTTGCGGCGTGGGTCAGTGAGTCTCCCTATGCAGAGATGGTAGTGATGGCTTACAGAAATTCCCTTGGACAGCCTTGGCGAGAGACCAGAATGCACGGGTTCCCGAAGGAAGGCGAACTAGTTTCTCGCCAATTATGCCTATGTGCTTTGACTTTGCCTTGGCAATAACTCTTTTGAAGACCTGGAGGCGAAGTTATACTTCTTTTAAACATGCTGGTGTTTACATCCCGAGCTGCCGAAGCCTCAGCCTAGGCCTGATAACAGTCCTGATTACTGCATAATGCAGTCTTACAGAGCGACCAAACCAAGGCTGAGATCTGCCACTGATGGGTACCATAGATGATGGAATAAATAGTTCCATTCCCTGTAGCACCACATCGGTGACAGAGTCAGCAATAGCGCTGGGATCATCCGACGAGAAGAAAAACCACCCCCATGGGTAGGATGCAAAGAAAGACCGCATTCCGTCCCAATCCACCGACCTATAATGCCAAATCGGCAGCAACTTGCAGAACGCGATCGCGAGGAGAGCGTGAGTGGCATCACACTCCGGATCAGACAATGGTCCGAAGTGCCGAGAGGGAAGATGTATGATCCTCCACACCTGGAATCTGCGTAGGCGATGTAACCAGTTGTGTCAGACCATATGCCTAGGCAAGCCATAAACAGATCTCGCCGCATGATCGGTTAAACGTGAACCGAGCCATTCAGCGTGTTGAGCGTTAAAATCGCCAAGTATCACGATCTCTACGGATGGGATCTGCTGTAGCAATGGTCCCATATATAGGTATTACCGCTATGGGACCTGTAGACGCGGGGATGGTCGTCGCTGTCTACGCGCAGCCATAGGATGGACAGCACCGTACCGTCTCGGTCAAAAAGAGCAAGGCCGACTTCGCCATCTCTAAATGGTAGTGGACGGCGTTAAGGTTTGAATTCCCTTATGTTGCAGAAGTCCACGGATAAAGTGGCAGGGGTCGCCATAGTTTTATCGCTCTGTTTGCCCCGTCCAGTGTTAGTATAGAGCTGAATTTTGCCCCCCCCCCCCTCCCCCGAATACGCGGGGCAGCCTGAACACCCACGCTCAGGAAGTAGGGGGTAGCTTCACCGTGGATGCTCAGTGAGGGATTCACAATTACCAGGGGTGCTGGTACCCTCCTGGGGTATTTCTTTCTTTTTAAATTCAGCTACCATGTTATGGAGGGGGGGGGGGGGTTGGCCTCCGCGGAATACGTCGGTGCACGCGCTGTTCTGACGGTAGAAATAGGTGAGAGAGTGGAACCTTCCCAGACAGGCAGAATCATAACTCTAGTAAACTTCAGTCCAAATTCCAATGCGCTTCAACTTATAACATTTTTTTGGATAGGGTGACGAGCACACAGTCCAGCTGATGGTAAGTGGTTGCTGTGGCCCATAGAAATCTACATCTATCCTCGTTTGCGAATCAAAATGCAAATGCGTTGTCAGCCGTGAGGACTAAGGTGGAATGCCTCTTTTCCAGTAAAGCGGGTCTCCGGTTCTCTACACTCACCATACGAAGCACAGCAGTGTTAAACTGCTATTTTACGCTGGTATTCTGTGATAGCGTGGTCCTTCCCCGGACGAGAAAGTAAGAAATAACACTGAACACAAGAAACAATGAAATAACTAATTCTATACCTTACAATTTACTATTCAACATTAGATTGCGGTGGTGTTGTGTGAATGCGTATTCCATGCATTTCCGCTATCTCACTCTTCAATGAGTCTGTCACTAAGCGGCGTTGCTTCACTCTAGATAGTCCAACAAATTCTTTGGCTTCAATACTGATCTCAATCTCAAACATAGCACCACAGCCACCAGAAATGTCTTGTACGCTGATGTATGTGATGCCAGGCAATGAGCGTTTTTAAAACTTGGTCAGCTGCTCCTCTTTACGAACGGAATTGCGTTCGAAGGCACTGTCATTCCCCACTGTCCGTACTATTCGATTTTTAGTTTAATTTTACATCGGTCAATTAAACGTGGTAGTGCCATGCTGCCATGTTGCAGCTATATTAATAGTATAGCACGAATGCGTCGACTCGACCGCGGATGGACCACGCTCTCACAGAATACCAGCGTAAAATACTCACCATACGAAACAGCAATCTCACGGCTAAGAACGCATCTGCATTTTGATTCGCAAAAGATGATAGATAGATGTCTATGGGCCACAGCGTCCACTTACCGTCAGTTGGATTGTGTGCTCATTTGTCATCCTTATTCTATAAAAAAAATTGTCACAAAACTAACTAGTAGGTATAAAAACTCCTGTTAAACGAATAGCGGGGCATGGATAGATTTCCTGACGTTTGTGGTGAAGCCCTTGAGGACAAGGCGCGGTGTGGGCTATTCAACATTGCGTAACGCCGGGTGGTGAAGGCCCAAATATACTGTGTGATCTCTTACGACAATTCAAGCTCTTGATAGAGGCCGATTCTTTATAATAGGTACATACAAAAGACTAGCAGGTAATTGAGGTTCATATAATTTAAAATTTAAAATTTTGGACAACCGACTTCAATATATATTATTAAATATAAATCAAAAACTATTGTTCAGACCTCGATCAAATTTATTTGAGACCACATGAGAAGCAGCAGCTTTCAAATAAAAAAGAACCATCGAAATCGGATCTCGTAGAACAAAGTTATGAGGTAACAGACATAAAAAAGCATACAGTCGAATTCAGTACCTGCTCCTTTTTGATGTCGGTAGAAAATTTACCTGTATTACCACGAGTCGTTAAACGGTAGGCGATCTTTACTCCAAAAACTACGTTGATTTTTGCCATAGTTGCCACGCACACAGACGTGGTGGCAACTGCACTTTTCGTATTTCCTAGTTGTTAATAGAAAATCAATGCTGCCCATCTCCTGGTTTGTTTCATTCTGTCACCTCTAACGAATCCCACAGGACTTTCTGGTGTAGTGGATATTCATACACCGCCACTACATGGTTAAAATCCATCGAAACAAGTGCCTGGACTAAGCCAATGAAACACATACCTTTTGGCAACAATAACTGGCCAGGGCCTGTTGAGCCACACGCACGGCTGCGTGTTGTTCGCCAGCGGCTGCCAGCTGCCGTCACGACAGAGGTACGCCAAGTGGTCGGTCGATATCGAGGAGACTGATGGTGGCATATTCAACTGGAAAGGATAAATTTACAGCCATTCTGACTTAGTTAATTAAATCATACATAAGGGAGAATTTACGAAGTATTAACCTGCATTCTATGTACTAAGGTGCTAGCAAATAACAAACAAGGGTGTGGCGCCCGATTTATCCCGAAAAATCCACCCAAATGTGACCTAAATTCAACAGACTGGTTAATGGCAGCAGAATTACCCAGGTGAATCCTGTTTCGGCTCAGCCTTGTCCTAACAGGGTTGCCAACACTACAATATGTATCGTACCATACGGGGTTATTTTTCAATAACCGGTCAAATTTGCGGAGAGGGTTCAGAATGACTAATATACGCAAATGGTAAAGAAGAAAAATTAATTTTAAAAAAAATCTCAATGTCCTGTTCTTTTTATCTTTTAAATTCAAAATGCGTAGTAATGCATTCTTTTTTTAATTTATTTGTTTTAGTTGTGATTCTATTCATAGTTCTCACCACACTACCATAGGTTAGCTGGCAGAGAATGTAGTTTGAACATTACGTTTACCTTTGTGCAAAACATTTGAGTCCCATAAAAAATATCTATCTACATATCTTGTTCAAAAGATATTAAAACTCCTTACCCCGAAGTAAGCGACGACGTCAGCCAGCTCCGACCACATGACGTCACCAGCGCCTTCAGCTAGACAATGTAGGGCTCCTCCGTCACCCCAGTACCGGTCGGTCTTTGAGCACGTGGACCGACAGGCTTCACAAAGGGACGGATACTTCCGTTCTGTAAAAGTCCATCACTCTATAAAAATGTTCTGATGGATGTAAGCCTGTCTTATAAGTAAAAGTTTTGTCATATTCACTAAGCCTGATAGGTGGGTTGGTAATTACAAAGCTGGTTATATTATATACTCTGATTACGCTGCTATTACCACAAATTGTAACTTATATATACATATATAAGTTACAATTTTGAAAACCAAATTTTTTACCCTAAATTGTAACTTATATATACATATAAAGTTACAATTTGAGGTAAAGACCGAGCTCAGTTATACTTCTATCATTTTAGAGAGAGAAAACGCAAAGATAACTGGAAAAATATGGTACAATTTTATGGGATATTGTTATTTTAGCCGTGGAAAGAAAAGGGGAGATCTCCCGCCGGGCCGGTGTTCTGCCCGGGGAGCGGTCAATGAACCGTGTGTTAACAGAGCAGTTCTATATATAGCGCAGTGACTTAAGAACTTTGATAGCGTGATTTAGGTCTCAGTGCATTTCGCTGTGTTCGTTGTTGGGCGACCCCCCACCAGATGGAGTGACCACCTGCTGAAACACACAGGATGCAGGGCTAATGTATGTGCATTATTTACTAGGCACTTGTGACATAAAGGTAGTTATGACATAAAACACACTTACTCAACTCTGCATCTCGAGCTAGGTCCGGCACCCAAGGACCAGCCTTGCAAGCTCTGCCAAAGAACTCTGCAACCGCTTTGATCCTGTTTTCCGAGAGGGACAGCTTCGGATCGCAGGACCTGGTGATCACCAATGACTCCAGGTACTGTGAAAGTAATGTAGTCACTAAAATTTCATTTATCTAAACGGGAGAAGGTACTGATACTATACTGATACCACTTATACTTACTTCGTAACTATAAGTGGCCCGCAGGTATCGTGGAAATTGAAAACGGAAAGAAACGAAAGAAAAGAAAGATAAACAAAATAAAATAATTTGACGGTTAGTGGCACAGGGCGTTGATAAGAGCTGCGGGTTCGAATCCCGAATGGAAAAAATGTCTGTATGTCCTCCATTATAGCACATAAAAGTTTACTGCTGAATGTAGGCTCCCCCATAGTCCCCCATAGTACAAATCTATCAATGAAGGGATTTCGCCAAACTTGCCACGCTTGGCAGGCAAGTTGGCAACCACAGTTTTTGATCATATTGAGTTTTTATGAGAAAGATACTAAAGTATGACGATCAACATACCAATAATTGATTCGGGTCTGAATGATTGTCTATGTACAATGTATGTATGGACAAACTGGAGAAGGACAATGTTTTCACAGAATACCCGCTCAAAATAGTAGCTTAATGCTGCTGTGTTTCGCATGGTGAGCGTCGAAAACCCGGAGAAACGTAAACCCTTTTCTACCGACTTCAAAAAGGAGTCGGTACTCAATTCGACTATATGTTTTTTATGTTTGAACAGATTTCGATGATTCTTTTTTTATTGGAAACCCGATGCTTCACATGTGGTCCCATATAAATTTCATCAAGGTCTGACCAATAGTTTTTGAGTTATTCTTAATAATTTATATTGCAGTCGGTTGTACAAAATTTTTATTGATATTGATTGATGATATTAGTACTCCGGAGTGACAACGCGTCTGCATTTTGTCTTAATCGAGGATAGATGTAAATGTGTAGAGGCTACAAAATTTAAATACTATAAAGTGTATTTACTGTGTAGTCGTTTCTCACTCTTGTTTTTATAAAAAAAAAAACATGCGTGAGTGTCGTGGAACACTCGGTTGGAACGAAATTCCTTTCGTAGTACATTATTATTGATAAACGTATTATATTATTGATTAACAAATACAAATAAATGTATTACTAGCGTGTATTAAAATGAAGGGTCATTTAAAATAAAATAATATTTCTATCATGGCAAGATAAGAAAAAGTGCGGTGGAGATGGATATTATTCCATCTCGATTCCTTATAGCCGCCAAGGCCGAGACACTACGTCAGAAGGGGTTGTGACGGAAAAATCTTATATTTTTTCGCGCCAAGCCCCCATCCGCCAAATTCGTGCTGTCCGATAAAGAACTTCGTATCAAAAACAGAGGTGTAATATGTGTATACATGTACACAGGCCGCTATAAGACGCGTCGCTAGCCTGGCTTACGCGCAGTACGTCACGAGCATGTCGAGGTCACCGGTGACGCGATCCCATAAGTTTTCCCCTACCAAAAATCGCTCAACGCGGCTAAAGAAGTATTCACTTCAAAAATGTATGTAAATCGCCTTCACAATACAGGAGAAAATCCTAATGTGAGGTAATATTTTTGATAATAAAAACGATAGAAAAGAAAAAATGTAGTTATACAGATAATTAAATCTTCTTCTGTATCTCTTTTCTTCTGTAACCTTGATAACCTGAGCGTTGGTAGCTCTTTCTAGAAATGTCTGCGTATTGACCACGTATTGAGAAAGACCTATGTCTAGTTCACTATTGAACTTGTCACCAATAGCAAATAATAAATAAGTACCAGATACCAATAGCGACTTACTAATAAGGTGGACTATTGTTTCGTTTGTAATTTCCTTGGACTGAAGTAATGTAATGAGAGCTTTTATTAAAACTAGCGACTCGCCCCGGCCTCGCCCAAGTACGATTTTCAAATGTGACGTTACTTAAGTTATTTAAAATTTAGCATTATATAGATATAAATGGATGCTGTGGCCCATAGTCATCTACATCTATACTTGATTAAGATTCAAAATGCAGATGTTATCACCCCTAAGCACTAAGACAAAATGCCACGTTTCCAGTAAAATGCGTCTTAAATTCGATGTTTTGTACACAGCACAAGCAGCTATTTTAAGTTGGTACAAGTCGCGACACTTAAGTCTAGCGCCGAACAAAACGTGGAGGGGACAGCTGCGCATGGTACTGTCGCGCACATATCACGTATCAGAAGGGGGGACGGAATGTGACTGAAGTGCCAATCAGCGCGTGCGAACGATACGCACGCCCGCCCCGCGACCCGCTTAATACCCCATGATACTTTATTTACGACTTATGCGCAATAACGGTCACCGCTAGACTTTCGTGCCGCTACTTATAGTCTGTGAGAGCGGAGCGTGGTCTTTCCCTAGTTCGGATTAACTACTAACCCATTCGTGCTACAAATATAATATAGCTGCAGCATGACTCTACTACGTAAAAATTATAAATCATCATTATGTTCTTAAATAATCAAATATATTCTTTAAAAACATTGCAGCTCGGATATCCTGGTAATCAATCGCTGATTGGCCGTTTCTTCCACTACGATATTCAAATCTCTCATGATCTCAAATTAGATTGATTATTTAGTGATTAATTACCCCTGTAAGTGTGTCACTGAGAGGTCGCAGGTCATCGGCACCAACACCGGGATGGCACAGCGAGCTGTTTCGAAGTATGGAGGTCAGCGGTGCGGCGCTGTCCGGCAATATCCTCTTGTTTACTACCGCGACCACACTGCGCTCGAAGTCTTCTGCAAATTGATAATAATAATAATACAATATAATCTATATCTATAAGTACAAATAAATAAAATTGGAGTGTCTGTTTGTGATGTCAAAATAACAGCTTTTCAATAAATGCATTTTTTTTATAAGATAAGGGTGACAAACGAGCACACAGTCCACCTGATGGTAAGTGGTTGCTGCGGCCCATAGACATCTACATCTATCCTCTATTACAAATCAAAATGTAGATGCGTTGTCACCCGTGAGGACTAAGATGGAACGGCCACCTGCACTCACCAAGCGAAACGCAGAGGCAAACCTCTACTTCACGCTGGTTTTTTGTGAGGTCGTGGTACCACCCCGGTTCGAGCCGGCCCATCCGTGCGACAGCAAAAGCTGCCGCATGGCTCTACCACTGTTGAAAGTATATAATATACAGTACTTATAACAAAACCACAAATTTTAAAATTTTCGTCTGTCTGTCTGTTTGTTCCGGTTAATATCCGAAATGGCCGGACCGTTTTTGATGAGACTTTCACTGGCAGAGAGCTGATATTATAAGGAGTAACTTAGGCTACTTTTATTTAAGAAAAAGAATAAGGGTACCGCGCAAAAAAATTAAAAACCTAAATTATTCGCGGGTGAGGTCGCGGGGAACAGCTAGTAATAATATAATATTAATGTTCTCTATACCGATTTCGGACACCTCCTCATCGGGATGAGCCGAGGTTGGTGCGTAAACCTGTATGACCTTCAGTGATTATCGTTTGGTGATTCTAAGTATGAGGTACGCAACCCTCGTCGACACACTTCCAATATTTACAACGTTGTTAACGAGTGACCTGTGGACGATAAATCTTACACCTCCTTGGGACATATGGTCCCCATCCCGGTGATAGAACAAGTTGTCGGATTCGAGGATTACCGTGTCCTCCCCCTCCCTCTCTTTGGACCTCGGATAATCCTATAATATGCCAGCGCATCTTGACTATTTCCGCTTCCAGTTCCAGAATCTTCTCGTCAGTCCTCAGAGTGCGTGCGTTACAAGTTGCCAGGTCGAGCCGTCGTAGGTGGCAACCGAACCTCCATCGGAGATTCTAAACACCTGTTAGTTAAAAGTTAAAGTGACAGCATGTATACGTCCCACTGCTGGCCACAGGCCTCCCCTAATTTCTGAGAGGGTTTCAGGACAAGGAAGTGTCCATCGCGCTATCCCAACGCGTGTTGATGAACTTTACATATCTACGAATTTTTTTTCTTATTTCTCAGAAATACAGGTTCCCTCAAGACTCACCGTCGAGCACGTGGTAAATCAGCACTTAAAATTGCAATTAACGATTACTAAATGGAGTGATATTAGTTAGGAACACAAAGGGGTCAATAAATTATGTTCTTACAAAAAATAAAAACCGAGTTCGAAAAACCAAAAGGCATGAAATTATTCCTACATAAGCGCTGTTGAAGTCGGGGCTTTTAATTCTTCATCAAACTTTGTACCTATTAGTATCGACTTTAGAAGCTGTTAAATTATGTGACAAATATTTTTTTCTCTTTAGGTTTTAAGTCCATTTTAACTTACCACGTTTTTATTTAGTCAACTAGCTGTTCCTCGCGATCTCGCCGGCGTGTTGTTTGGAATTTTAATTCTTTTGCGCGGAACCCTAATTATTTTTCTAAAATAAATGAAGCCTAAGTTACACCTTGTGACATCAGCTATCTGCCAGTGAAAATCCCATCAAAATCGGTCCAGCCGTCTCGGAGATTAGCCCGAACAAACAGACAGACAGACAGGCAGACAAAAACTTTAAAAATTGTATTTTTGTTATTAGTACCGTAAATACATGTGCATTTAGTAAAAAGCTGTAATTTTGACATTACAAATAGACTCGTCAATTTTATTTATTTGTGTAGATTACATGTTTGTCTGTCTGTCTATCGTTGCGGCCGGAATTTTGTATGTAATTGATTTATTTTAAACTAACTTCCCGATGAGCTAGAAACTTGAAAATTTGAATATAGTTCGAATTCGAATAACAATGCAAGAGTATGATAAAAGAATCGTGGTATAACAAAGATTTTTAAACAAATTTTCTTAACCTATTTATTTTAAAGTTTAATAATTGTTTTATATTTTTTCAAAATATTACTCTAAAAAAAACTTATAACTTACTGTTTCTGTCTCTCAACTCATTGGTCACAAGTACATCGATATTGGCCCACTGTGCCGCTATCAGGTCCTCGGGACTGAAGACGCCGAAGTCCACAGTCCCTTTGCTGATACGTCGGAGGCAGTCCAGTCTAAAACAAACACGTGCAAAGAAATAATTTCTGTAATAAGTAAAAAATAGAAAATAACATTATTACAGAAATAATTTCTGTAATAATACTTGATATAATATTAAAAAACTATAATAAAAAAAAAACTAAAACTAATAACTTAATTATCATACAGTCCTACTCCCCGTGGTATCGTGTCAAGAACGCTGGCTGCGTTTCCTCGCTGAATGGCTACACTTAGCCTTTGGGCGAGAAAAGAACCAGCCCTCTTATCACCAGCAGCAACGACCAGTCGCGGATAAAGTTCTTTTAGGAACTTCACTGCACGTGGACCCCACTGACCAATAGTGTCTACAGCGTATAGCACAAATATGTACACATCTCTCAGAGACATATTTGCGCCACTTACTCAGTTCAGCTGCACTGATGCCGCCCCGGCTCTAAACGAGGTACCCCTGAGATGAGAGGCCGCCAAAGTGTCTACGCAAGTAGCATCCCACACTAGGGCTTTACCTCTCTCCCAAGGGACCAATGTCATACCGTCGGGTCTCCTGCCATCGTCTCTAAATATTCCACAAGGCTCTAAAACCGAGGGAACATTTATACAGGAGCCCTTCGGATGACATCGTTCAAAGAACCAGAAACAAAAACAGCAACAGAAACACAAACTTTTTTATTCAATATAGATTATAAATAATACTTATTGAAAGTCACTCTTTTGTTTAATTACCACTGGTTCGAAAATAAACCTCTGTCCTGGTAAGAACCAGCAAGAAACCCAGCGGGACTATTTTTTTAAATAACAGCTTACAATCCTGTATTCACAATTAACCACACAAAACAAACTAGAAATAGCTTGGTAGCGATCACCTCATTCCCAGGGGTTATTATCATCCATAAATTCCTTAATATTATAATAAACCTTTTTATACAAACTTTTTTTAATAAAGTTTTTGAACTTTGAGCAGGTTATATTTTGTATATTTTCTGGGATTTTGTTGTAAAAGCGTTTACATCGCCCCAAGAATGAATTACGGACTCGGTGGAGTCGAGTAACTGGTATTACTAGCTTGTGGCTGTTCCTAGTATTTACAGAATGAATATCACTTATTTTGTAACCGTGCCGTACCACTAACTTGATATATATTTTTCATGTATTTTAACGACAGCAGCAGACCTGGGTTCTATTTATTTAGAAGGTTTCTAGCATTACCTTATTAATATTATATATTTTTTATTATTCTAAGGCAGCGCTTAGCTACAATCCCACCTGATGGTAAATGGTGATGTAGCCTAAGATGGTGAAACGCCTATTCTTTCTTGCCTTGAAGACACCCACACTGTAATCGGATGGAAAGACAGATGCCGGCAACTTGTCCTACTCCATTGCTGTACGCATAATGAACGATGTAGCAAACCGTTTGGTTCGAATGCATGGTAAGTCAACAACGAAAGTGTGGAGACTGGCCGAATGTCTGGTTGTCCGATGGTGGAAGGGAGAGGGAGGAATTAAGTTATACAATTCCGGCGAACACTCTCCGAAATGCATTCTGTAGAAAACCGAAAGGCTGGCTATTTTGCGCCTGTGTTCGAAGCTGGTAAGATTGGTTTTAACCAGATTCGGGTCACCAATAGGCCTTTTAGCACACCAAAGCTGCTGGGTGGCATTTATATAGTCATATCGGAATAGAATAGCACTATCGAAATTCAACGTTGAGCACGTGGTAAAATCAACGCTTAAAATTGGAAATACTAGTTTCAGTGTTACCTGCGGGGATCGAACCCGAGTTGGTCGGGGTCTGTGAAGTTTAAGACGAGCACTTAGCCTTTCAGCTTCTACGTACGGAGAAGTTAAAAATTCGTTTCCAAGCATACGAGGGCAACACTGAAAGTTTTTAAAACTGGCCACTTGTAAACGATATAATAAAAAATAAGTTCGAATTTTGAAAATAAACAATAAAACAATAAGAACGAGTGTAAAAAGTGCTTTTCTCAGTGGTTCCATCGTATGCAGCGATGTATTGATGTAAATGGACACTATTTTGAAAAGATATAATAAACTTGCTAGTTTGTTCAGTTTTTAATTTTCTAAGAACTTTCAGTGTCACCCTCAGAAACAGATATTTTTTTTATTATGTTGTTCGTACAATAATGGGACGATATTGTAGTTTATTATACAAATAGTAAAAACACAAAACGTTTATTTAATTTATAATTTATTTTTATGATTTAGAAGAATTTTAAGGTCTAGGAAGATCCCTCCGATTATGGGAGAGTCCCACGTTCAGCTGTGGTCTATTACAGGCTAATAAAGAAGAAAACAATCCTTACCTGTCAGTGCCCAGGACGCATTCGATCCCGGAATTCTCCTCGTCCAGTACTGGACAGTACTTGGCGCCACGTTTGTACGGGCCCCGACCTTCCACTATACACAGACGTACTGGGGACAAAACAAATGCATAAATAAATTATATTTTCAAATACAAAGAAACGAAATATATCCTTATAAATAAAAATTACGTGTCACGTTGTTTGTCCGCGATGAACTCATAAACTACTAAACTGATTGCAATGAAATTTTGACCACTGTGTGCAGTTTGGTCCAACGAGAGATAGGATAGTTTTTATCCCTATAAGTGACCCTCAATATTTTTATTACGAATTTAAGAATTTTTATAGGACACAGGGTCGTCGGTGAGGGCAGAACAACGTCTGCCTGGCCAGCTAGTATTTATATATAACAGTGGTCGCCTAATGGTTAAAATTCGACGGTCATTCACAAAATTTTTAGGTTTGTTCAACAGCACGTTATAGTAAAACACAGGTATCTGTCTTAAATATATTTACAAAGATATCTTACTTATATATACACTTAATTTACGTAACATAAGAAATATATTTTTTTGCATTTTTTGGCTAAAACCATAGACTTAGAATATAGTGGCGTAAAAACGTATAGTGGTTAATATAATCTTCAGTACTTAGGTACTTTAAGTCAGTGGCAGTGGAACATCAACAAAGGACATAATTTGTCCAAGTGACAATAATGATTTTTTTTTATAGGATAAGGGTCACAAGCGGGCACACAGTGCACCTGATGGTAAGTGGTTGCTGTGGCCAATAGACATGTCACTATCTATCTCTACTATCCTCAACTACGTATCAAAATGCTGATGCGTTGTCAGCCGTGAGAACTAAAATGGAATGCCTCTTTTCCAGTAAAAAGGGTCTCCGGTTCTCTACACTCACCATACGAAACACAGCACTGTTAAGTTGCTATTTTACGCTGGTATTCTGTGACAGCGTGGCCCTTCCCCGGTCGAGCCGACCCATTCGTGTTACAACTACCTATACAATTAATATAGCTGCAGCATGGCTCTACCACGTCTAAACGTTTAATTTGACATTGGCAATATGAACGCAAAGAATGTTTGTTTTGTATTATTTGCATTTAATGTACTTAAAACACGAGTTTTTTTGTTATAAAACAATTTAAAGCATCGTCATCAACAATACCATGCTGTAAAGTACAACAAATAAATTTTTATTTGATTGTGTTGTTAGTACAATAATGGGACGATATTGTGATTTATTATACAAACAGTAAAAACTCAAAACGTTCGCAGCGGGTTACGTTTACGTCATAACCAGAGATGACGCGATGTAGGTACGACACGAATAATGTGAAATGTTTTAGGATCGAGGTCGCTCGGTTCAATTGCACAATACTTCTCAGAAATCTCATCGCAATTATTTTTTTAATGTTTGCACACCTCTAAGCGGACTATGATATCATAAAGTGTCTCTAGGTTATATTGCCCCTTTTACCTTTTAACCTAGGAGTGCAAACAGTTCTCCCACTTGTGTATTCGGTTTGAATAATAAAAGAGCCAGTAGAATAACATCTTGTGAGGGATTTCAACTTAGTCCTCAGAGGTGGTAACGCATCTGTTACCTTCGATGTTTAAAATTAGTTGCAGTTGGTTGTGGACTAAAACGTGAAGATGTGCCAAAATTTGTAGTTTAGAAAATCGGATCGATGAAAGTAACTTCCTACTGGAAAGTTAATAAACAAAGAAACATTAGGCAATATTTTCAAAACGGTAAATCTAGAATCCCACTCTGAAGAACTTGCTCTATGGGCCTTAAACCGTGAAAGAACGATTGTGGTGAATTTTAGACTTTTAAATATCGAACGACTTCCATATTGGAATAACATTATAATAATGACCACGACTTTTCTGCCACCAGGGCGGCGCCACTTTGCAATGAGGTGAAATATTTGACAAATTTCATAGCGAGCGAAGATAATAATTTATAAGGAAATTTTAATGTTTCTAGGGAAAGATTAATGTTTCTTTCCGTATTATTAGTTATATTTTATATGAATAAGATCAGAAATGAATAAACCAAACCATAAATAAAAATAATAGAAGAATTTTTGTAAAAAGAGTTAAAAAGTGCAAAAAATTAAAGATCAAACCACTGAGGTATTATTTTGTGTATTAATATAGTACTCTAGCAACTGATAAACTTTTATTTAAAACTAATTTCTCAATTAAGTGACATTGTGTAACAGAAAAACTTCACCTCAGTCACAACTAGCGACATCTGGTGAGTGGAAGACTATTATCCCTCAGTAGCCTTTGCGCGAGAAAATAACCAGCCCTCTGATTTTTAAATTCAAATACTACGGCATTCACTTCAACCACGCGCTACTGCGGAGAGACTTGTAAGAATAAAGGTGACAAACGAGCACACAGTCCACCTGATGGTAAGTGGTTGCTGTAGCACATAGACATCTACATCTATCCTCGTTTGCGAATCAAAATGCAGATGCTTTGTCAGCCGAGAGGACTAAGATGGAATGCCTCATTTCCAGTAAAAAAGGTCTCCGGTTCTCTACACTCATCATAGGAAACGCAAACAGCATTAAACTACTATTTTACGCTGGTACTCTGTCGAGCCGACACATTCGTGCTACAACTATACCAGTAATATAGCTGCAGCATGGCTCTACCACGTAAAAAGAAACTTAATACTAGTAGAATATTTAGAAAATTTATCTCAACAGAAAACTAAAAACCAAACACGCTCATTGTACTCACTTGGCTTAGTCCCGTGGTAGTAACCATTAATCCAGTTAAAGTTCGTTAAGTTGTTAAAAACAAACTGAGAGAACGTAAAAACTATATTAAAAAAATGCGTGAATGTCGTGGAATACTCGGTTGGAACGAAATTCCTTGCGTAGTTAATTTTTATTGATAAACGTAGGTATTATATTATTGATTAACAAATACAAATAAATGAATTACTAGCGTCTATTAAAATGAAACGTCATTTGAAATAAAATAATATTTCTTTCACGGCAAGATAAGTAAAAGTGCGAGGGAGATGGATATTATTTCATCTCACTTCCTTATTTCGCCGCCAAGGCCATCTACACTATGACACAAGGGGTAGTGACGAAAAAATCTTATACTTTTTGTCTTCTAGCTCTCATCCGGTAAACCCGTACCGTCCGATAAGAAACTTCGTTCCAATAACGTCCTACAGACCGAATTTCGGTCACTTCGGCTTGTCTCAACGGAGACTAGCCATTTGCGTAGGACAGGATTATAGTGTCCGAATGTATGCTGAAGCACAGGTGCACTCTTGATTCCCCCACTCTCATATCCCGATGGGCAATCCAACAAAGAATCGAAAAGATATCAGGCGCATTACCAACGATTTTACGTGTTTTCAGTGGCACGGGGATGAAACACCGCCAATTTCTAGACGCCAGAGTGCTGTTGAGAATTTTGGGACAGAACAAACCCTCGCGGGCAAAGTCGCGGGAAGCAGATAGTTTTGTAATAAGTGAAATGTAAATATCATAACATAAAAGACTTGACTTTAAAAAAAACAGAATAATATTTTCCCACCCTTAGGCGCGTGGAATTTTTTCTTCAATTGTATATATATATATATATATATATATATATATATATATATATATGGAACCACCACTAAAACTAAAGTTATTTGTCAGGATACCAGGTTAATAAGTATAAAGTTTTTAAATAATTGTATTGTCATCGGTCCTTGATAAGAGTGCAAATTTTCAAGTCATTACATTAAAAGATTCCGTTACATAGATAGATAGCTGGATAGATACTTATTGTGAAGCTTAAAAAAAATTAAAGAAAGAACCAAGCATTAAAATAAAAAATAAAAATTAATCTATGGAATTTCTTACGCCGCCACCACATCTAACTAATCTTAAAGAGACATAATCATGGATTACAATTATTGCAACAAGAGGCGGAAAACTGAAGGAAACTAGATATTTGCGTAATACAAGAAAATTATACACATAAAAATGAGGAAAGACCGCGTAAGAGATACTATTTAAAATCACGCAAGCGTCGGTGCCACGTTCTTTGTATAAATTTTAAGTAACTATCTCATCGGTTAAAATAGTAATTAATGAAATCAAACTGCGTAAAAAAATTTACTGAAAAGAAAAAAAAACAGAGGCGGCCATAAGAACTGCCGACAGAAGTGAAAATTCAATGATATATTATGTGCCTAGCGACGCGTAGTAGACATGTTGGCAGCGTTGCCAACACCAATTTGTCAAATTCCCCGAAAATCCATGTTAAATTCCCCAATTTAAGGACAAAATTTCAAGATTTATTTTTTTATGTAACATTTTTTTCTTTTATAACGAATTTTTTTTTTCACACTTTCCATATTTTTGTAACAAGCATTTTACTCCATGGGGTATTTTAATTCCTTCCCTTGTAATCATTAAATAGTACCACAGTATATGTATTTATATGCATGCGGTTCCCTGCTTTAAAATAAAAAAAATAAAGAAATGAAAAACATTAAATGATACACAAAAGTTGCCGAAATAAATCCGAAAATTAAATGTGGTGCAATGAAGATTATTAAAAAAAGCAGTCATTCGATATTCATAAGTAACCTAACAAAAATGTTAATATAAGTATTTAGATTGTTTGACGATAGGTTCTGACTAGGCCTGGAATATCGATTTTCAAAATCCTCGCATTTTCCCCGCAAAATACCAATAATACCATACCAATATAAATTAACATTAAATTTTTTCTTCTACTTCAATATAAATTATTAAGAATAACTCAAAAACTATTGGTCAGACCTTCATCTAATTTATATGGGACTACATGTGAAGCACCAGCTTTCAAATAAAAAAAGAATCATCGAAATCGGTTCACACAGAAAAAAGTTATGATGTCCAATTGAGTACCGTCTCCTTTTTGAATTCGGTAGAAAAAAGTAATACCAGGAGGCGGGGTAGTGCGTCTCTGCATACATGTAGAGACATTATCGTGCAATAGGAGTCTGTTATTATCTCCTTAAGCGAGAGCGGTTATTATAAATACTATTTTTGTTACTTAGGCCTTATTAGCCGAC